TGGTAGAGGAAAAGATGATTTTGATGGCACTGGTGATCCACATGTCAACCTTGTATGACCACTTTCCTTGCACCGACTACATGTCGATCTCTTCTTCTCTTCACCCTTAGACGGTATACGATCGTGACTTTTTGGTCGGCCAGGTAGCCTTCTGTCCATGGCTGGTGGCAAAACTGTTTGTAAGTCATCTGGTATGTCCCACTCAGAAGGATGTGGAATAGGGTAGACAATCTCGGCATAAGTCTGTCGATAAACTTCTGTAGTGTAGCAATCCATAGCGTATGCGCTTGAATCATCTTGGTTTAAATGAAGAGCAACTTTTATAACATGGCCACACGGATAACCAGATGTTTGCCATTTCATACAACTACACGTCTTTGCATTTAGATCGACTAGCCCATTTAAGTTATTATCCAGTACTTGAAACAAAGTGTTTGAACATGGTTCAACTCTCCATGACGTTGACTTCACAACACGTTTCGTTATCTTTTTTTCAGTCCATGGTGTAACACGATGTTCCAATGTTCCTGTAAATTTAAATAAACAATACTTAGTAAAATATAAATATGATAAGTTACGAATTCAAAGAAATAATACCTGCATGGTTTCTTTTCTTGTAGTACCACTGTTGAATAGAGGCTCGAAAAAACTCCATTAACATAGTAATGGGTAATTTCCGGGAATGACGACTTAGAGCGTTGATTGATTCTGCACTATTAGACGTCATGAAACCATATCTTGCTCCAAGTTGATGTACTCTTGACCATCTTTCAAACCCGACATCTTCTAGTGTTTGAGCACACTGAGGCAAAACACGTCTTAAACAATTTATATGCTTATTGAAATCCACTTCCCGATAAGCTTTTACAGCCTTCCAGTATGTCCATTTGTGCTTTTTTATACCAGCAGACCTTGATTTTAGATTTCTATACAAATGAACACCACAAAGTCCATGAAAAGCATCTGGGAAACACCTTCTAACAGCGTTGTCAATTGAGTTTGCCCTATCGGATATGATTGTCAGATTGCTAATAGGACCTATGCAATCCCTAAGATGCCCCATAAACCATGTCCATGAATCAGAGGTTTCAGATTTGCCAACCCCGTAAGCTATTGGCAATATCCCATTGTTAGCATCCATGGCTACTGCTAATAAGTTTACTCCAAGGTATCGACCTTTCAAATGTGCTCCGTCAACTATAATAACTGGGCGCATGCAAGTAATAAACGAACGAATCTACAAAATAATATACACAAGAAATATAATCATTTAAATGTGAAATGCATGTAACTAACAAAATGAGTCAACAAAATTATATTGATTTACTAACCGTAGCACCAATGGCGATAAACAGCAACTCAAAGCGTCCATCTCTATCTGTTTTGATATGAGTTACCGACCCAGGATTTTTCAGCTTTAAATTGTGACAATAAGCCGGCAGTTGGGCAAACGATGCTTCTGGCGACCCCCTCAACAATTCCAAGGCATAACATTTGGCTCTCCAAGCTTGAGAATATGATATACTAATCTTGAACCGAGCATTCATGTCAGTCATAATTTCATGTCCCCGATATACCCTGCCATTCAAAAACATTAACTCAGCCAGAAAACCACCCAACACCTTTTTGTTTGCCTGTCTATGGTGAGGAAAAACTTGGGTTCTTGAACATGTATGTTTATCAATAAAAGTCCTAACTTGAAACATTTTGCAATCTTTTATTCTCTTTGCAATCATACGCCACGTACAGTTTTTGTCAATCATACACCTTGTTTCGAAACGATCTTTGCTTGATTTGTTAACTTTTAGTTGATAGCCATCTTCCACACATTTGTATACAAAGCTATCTTCAAGTCTTCCTTTGTATCAAAACAATCATCTTTCTTGACACGAATAACTTTTGTGTAACAATCAACTGCTTTCTTTGCCAACTCTTCTTCCGGTAACTGAAGTAATTCTGGCATATTCCAGTTATACTCCGTGGCATTTTCTTTTCTTCGGGGACTTTTTCTTCTTCTTTTTCTTCTTCAGGATTATATGAATTACAGAATGGATGTTCAACATGTTCATTCACAGTCGTAACTTCCTCCTCATTATCATCAACAACATCTTCCTCGGCAACGGGTGTTTCATCATCAAAATTCGGGTATTGACCAATATTAAAATCATTACACACATGGTCTGTTTCTTCTTCTGAAACATCATCAAAATCCGTGTATTGACCAATATCAAAGTCCGGATATTGACCAAGACCAAATTTCGAATACTGACTAGTACTCACAATTTTTTCTGTTGGCTCATCATCGTCTAACTGGTCAATACGAAAACCGGAATTTGGTGCTGAAAGTTGATTGGGATTTGGATTAGAGAAAGGTTGTGGGTTTTGAGAAAAACTTAGTTGATTACTACCCGCTACTGACCCAACAATACTACTTCTAGGTTCAACAACATACAATGTAACATCATCTTGTGAAACACTAATGTAAGCAATGAATCGTTCAACATCTTCATTGTCGGTTAACAAATAAACTTTACCATTTCTCTGATAAGATAGCCTAAATCCACTTAGGGGCTCTAAATTCAATTTATTTGAAACACGTAGCATTAGAGTTTCATAAGTTAACTTTTGTAAAGACAATTTTAGTTGAAGATTCATGGGTAAAGGCATATATTGTAAAACACCATGAACATTATCCCATGACCCTCCAAACACAAATCTATCCAAACATGATCAGATGATTTCATGGTTGTAAATTAATTTACTAAACAGACGAGCTGCGAAACTAAAACCTGTTGCCGGATTGGGAAGGATGTCGTTGGATATAGGAACGGATGTCGCCGGAGAGAGTGATAGATGGAGATGGAATGAGTTGCGATTTAGGGATTTAGTTTATGATTTCAGTGTTATATACCCAAAATTTCAGTGTTGTGATTTACAGATTCTCGTTGCGATTTACGGATTATCGTTGCGATTTACAGATTCTCGTTGCGATTTACGGATTATCGTTGCGATTTACGGATACGCGTTGCGATTTACGGATTATCGTTGCGATTTACGGATACGCGTTGCGATTTACGGATACGCATTGCGATTTACGGATACGCGTTGCGATTTACGCATACACGTTGCGATTTACGGATACGCGTTGCGATTTTATGTATTATCGTTGCGATTTACGGATACGCGTTGCGATATACGGATACGCATTGCGATTTACCCATACGCGTTGCGATTTACGGATACGTTGCGATTTACGGATATTGCGCGTTGCGATTATTGAAAATCGCAATGCGAATTTGTACTATCGCATCGCGATTTTCAAGAATCGCGTTGCGATTTTGGAAACTGATTTGCGATTCTGGGGATCGCGTTGCGATTTTTATTTCGCGTTGCGATTTTGTTGGTCATTTTGGCAAATCCAAAAAAAGTTGGTTAAAATCGTATATTATAACTTTTTTTTGGTCACTGAGGCGATTTTCTCTAAAAATAATCACAAAGCATATCTCTTATTATACTATTGAACTTAATGCATAAGAATAACTGATCAATCGCATAAATTTAGGACAAAATATGCTGACATAAATCATGCATATTTTGTCATGCAAAATTCAAATTTAAGATTTTTTTAATAATATAAAGGGATTACAATATAGTAATCGTATATAATCTTTTAATTATTTATAACATATACATTTTATAGATATAACTATTTAAACTCGTGAGTTTAAAGGAGAACAATACTCCCTTAAATGAATTATATCTATGGCATTGATAATTGAAGAAGTAAACAAAGTAAAACACCCAACCTTGGAAATAAAGGCTCATAATAAATTTTTATTAAACTAGAATACTTATTTTGTCTCTATTAATGCTGAAAAATAAATATAATAATAATAATAATAATAATAATACAACTTATGCTCAGTTGGTAGAGCACAAGGTTCTTAACCTTGAGGTCATGAGATCGAGTCTCACGGTGGGCAATTCATAATTTGGAGGTCTCCCACGGAAGCTGCTCTCAACCTGGCGTTGGGGCAGCCTACTATCCTACCTCCCCTTACCCCATTACATATGTGAATAATGGTCAGCTAATTTTTTTTTATGCTCAAACTAGGATTATAATATAAAAATATCTCCTAGTAAAAAGTCTTAAGGTAAGCTAAATATCTAAAGTTATACATTTTTCTTATTAGTCTAAAGTTATACTTGAACTTGTATCATTTTATAAGTAGATAAGAACATACATGTGATTTAATTATGAAAACTTTTTTGATAAGTAAAATGACCATTCGATAATAAAATGTTGCTTTGTTAATTTCTTCAACTATTAAAAATTATAAAATAGTCATCGACTATTCATTATGTTCCCAATTTATCATTTTTCGTTAAAAAATTGACGGTATTCTAAGCTGAATGATAACCTATTGACTGTGATATGATAAAATTTGATCCCAATATCTCAAAGGACTATCATATCTCAACCATCATGTTAACGTCCGGATTAGATAATTGTCAATTTTTAACAAAAAATGATGAATTTGGAACATAATGAATAGTCGGGTGACCATTTTGTAACTTTTAATAGTTGAAGGACTTAACAAAGCAACATTCTATTATCAAATGATCATTTTGTAAGTTTTAATAGTCGAATTACTTAATAAAGAAACACTCTATAATCGAGAGACCATTTGCGTACTTTACCCTAATTATATTATATATGCTAATTCTTAATTAATATTATCAATTCTTAATTACTTTTTTAAAAGGAATAATTTATCTAATTTTGAATTAAAAAGGATCTAAGAGGTAATTTCGCCTATAATATAATATTCCAATATAAATTGTCCTTTTTCCCGCGCCTTGCTTGTGTATATAAGAAATTAGAGCCCTAACGAAACTCGGTTTCTCTGTTGGTGTAAAGATCCAAATAAAAACCACTCTTTTTCTCCTTCTACACCCAAACAAGAAGAATGCTCCCAAAGCAAAGTTCTGTAATTTCAATGGCTTCTTCTCTTAATAATAACAATCTGCTCAAAGTAAAACCCGAACCCTACGTGTTCAACAACAGAATCGAACACAGTCCGACTCAGCAACTCGCCATTGAAATCAGCAGCGATAGTAGCAGTTCAAGCAGTGACGATTCTTCATATATCGACGACTCGTTACTGGGTTTTCTCCAATCCAATGCGGGTTTCAAAAGACGTAGTTCCGGTGAAGAGCCTGTCGGTTCTTGTTCGACCAAGAAACCGAAAACCGAGGGTTCTGGTTTCGCGCTTCCCACGACGTTTCTGGCTCCGCTTCCGCAAGAGGACGGGATTCTACCGTTGACCGTAATTGTTCCGGAGACCGGATTATCGGTGACGGAAACTGCTTCCCTTCAAGGCGTTGTTGAAATCCGTCAACGGAGTAAGGTTTCGAGGTCTTGCAAGCAGTTTTGGAAAGCGGGAGATTATGAAGGAGGCAATGCATGCGATTCTACCGTGTCTTGTACTGGTTAAAACCCTACTTTTTCTTTTAAGTTTAATTTGTGTTCCTTTTTAATATCTGAATTTGAATATTGACTTACATGTGTGTGTGTGTGTGTGTGTTGCAGTTGGCATGGATCATGTTAGGGTTCATCCCAAGTTTCTACATTCAAATGCAACCAGTCATAAGTGGGCTCTTGGAGGTACACATTATAATTAAAAACATTACTGTTCCTATTGGAACTTTGATAATTATGAATGATAAACAATGTTTCCTTCTTTGGACAGCCTTTGCTGAGCTTTTGGACAATGCCCTAGATGAGGTTTTTGCATTCTCCTTAAAGAAAACTCAGTTTTGTTTCCTCTTGCATTCATATTCTGATAGGACATTTCTTTCAGGCATGCAATGGAGCTACATACGTTTGCATAGATATGTTGCAGAATAAAAAAGATAACAGCAAGATGTTGCTTGTCGAAGGTAAATTGCCGGCGTAAATTTCCATAATCAATCGTTATAATTCATGTGCCTGATTTGTTCTTATGCTGCTCTTTTGTTTCTGATAATTGTAGATGATGGTGGAGGAATGAGCCCGGATAAAATGAGGCAATGCATGTCTCTTGGGTATTCTTCGAAAAGTAAAATGGCAAATACCATTGGTCAATGTGCGTATCTCTATCTATTTATTTATCTTTCTATATCTGCATATAGTTTCGCATGTTCCTTTCCGTTGACGACTGAATGCCACAACCATTGCATGTTATTTATGGTTTAACTGAATTTCAGATGGAAATGGCTTTAAGACCAGTACAATGAGGCTTGGAGCAGATGTTATTGTGTTTTCTCAAAGTCATAGGACAGATGGAAAGAGGTTGGTTCTTAATTATGAAAAAACTCTATTAAAATGCGACAGAATTCTTTCTTTTATGCTGTGCTTATTGTCTGTTATAAGTTCAAAGGCTGATTTTTCCCATTGTCTTAGCCCAACGAGGAGTATCGGAGTACTTTCCTACACATTTTTGACAGAAACCGGAAAGGAGGACATTGTAGTTCCAATTGTAAGAACTCTTCAACAATGTTATTATTTCTGCATATATATCTGTTCTTGTTTGTGCACAACATGCAGTCTAACTTTCTGTCTTTGAATTGAAAAGATTGATTATGAAAAAAGAGGACAGAGTTGGACCAAGATGACACGATCATTTGAGGATGATTGGAACAGGAATTTGGAAACTATAATCCGTTGGTCGCCATACACGTCTGAAACTGATCTACTTGAGCAAGTAAGTTTTGTTGTTTCGATTCGCTTTCTGATTCGATGTCGATGTGCTAGCATGGAAGTAAATGAATCGTACTAACTGCTGTCCCTGTTGTTGTGTCTGTCAAATTTTAGTTCAATTTTCTTAAAGATCATCATGGTACCCGCATAATAATTTACAATCTCTGGGAGGACGATGAAGGTAAACCGGAGCTAGATTTCGAGACCGATGATCATGTACGCTTTCAACTCCTTCTCATGTATCACTTTTCTCATTTTCTTTTTGAAATTCCAGTGACTAATGAAGTTTGGAATGGCAGGATATTCAAATTAGAGGAGTTAGTCGAGACGAAAAGAGCATCGAAATGGCGAAAACATTTCACAACTCGAGGCACTTCTTAACTTATCGGCATTCGTTGAGGGTGAGTCACTGATAATTTTGCATTCATCTGATCACCATGGCTGATTAACCATATTTTTCCCTTTTGTTCCTTGTAGAGCTATGCATCCATCCTTTACCTCAGGCTTCCAACTGATTTTCGAATGGTTCTGCGTGGAAAAGACATTGAACATCATAACATTATCGATGACATGATGCTCACTACGAAGATAGTATACCGGCCTCAGATAGTTTCCGGAAAAGCGCCGACTAGCTCTGATGTAATCGCTATAAAGCTTGATCTCTGATTTGGATTGTTCACTTGTTCTTTCCTTTACACTCTTTGAAAACTGAACGAATTTTGCCTGGACTTCTGTAACAGATGGTTGCAACTGTGACAATAGGGTTCGTGAAGGACGCACGATACCATATCGACATACAAGGATTTAATGTGTACCACAAGAACCGGCTTATCAAGGTTAGATTTTTGTTTTAATTAGGCAAAAGAATCTAAAACCATAGGTTGAGATTCCAATGGAATGTTAACCTTTTATTTTCCGTTCATGCATGGGAAAAACAACACCATCAGCCATTCTGGAGGGTGTGGAATGCAGCTGGAAGTAGCGGCCGAGGAGTACTCGGTATGGATAAATGCTTATATTCTACTTTCTGGTTCTCATTTTGGTCTACGGATCAGTGTTTTGGTAACTCCTCTTCCTTTTGATATTCTGCAATAGGTGTGTTGGAGGCCAATTTTGTCGAACCGGCGCACGACAAACAGGGTTTCGAGCGAACCATTGTGCTTTCAAGGCTGGAGGCGAAACTAGTTGGAATTCAGAAGGACTACTGGTTTGTACTCCCCATTACATGCGTAGGGAATTACTTGCATAATAAGCAAAACTAGTATTGGTCTCTGAACTATTCCTTGCTTTTCCGTTTAGGTTTAAAAATTGCCATGAAGTTGGTTACGCAGCTAGGAGGCCTGCAAAGAGCTCGGTCACGGAAGATGCGAGTCCCGTTTCATGTGTTCGAGAGAAGCCTTCTTCGCAACCGGCTCGAAACGACCAGTGCTCCACTAGCAAGGTCCAGAACATTCAATCCGGTGTTAAAGAGAAAACATCGGTTCCGAACCAAAACGGACATGTTACCCTTATCTCTATGAAGAAGTCTTCTTCACAACCAAATGAAAATGACCAAGTTTCGGTAAGAAGAAGTACCAGAATTCAATTGGGCATGAAGGATGATCAAAGTCCACCGGTAGACGAAGCAAATCAAGACAGAAAATCTTTCAGGGCATCGCCTTCGAACGGCGAATCTCGACAACCTCCCGCAGCAAACACCACACCATGTCCATCACATCTGAGGGTAAATTGTGTCCAATGCATTTGCATTTGATCGTCTATAGTGTTCTGTTCACTTGTATGATCAAGTTTATTCCATGTTTCAACAGGAAAAGGACAGGGTCGACGACAGAGATAAGAATTTGTCGAGTAATTGTGACATGCCGAGATTAAACAAATTGGAAGCTGAGAATCATGACTTGAAGGAAAGGTATACTACTTAATAATTTCCCCCTTAGCTTTTGTGTATTTTTGAAGATTGTTCTTCCTTGCTTAACCATTTGAACGTCCTTTCTGATGCAGGATGAACAAAATGAATGGTGAATTACAGTTCGAAAAAGATAGATGCAAATCACTTGAATTGCAAGTACGTTCATTCGCTGTCCATGCATTATCTGTAAATTAGATGAGGATATTATCGTAAACAACACTTGATTTATAGATTTTGAAGCTGATTATGTTTTTTTATTTGCAAATAAGGTCAAGCAAGAACAACAACGGAGCCAAGAGTTGGACAAAGAGCAGATAGTTCTGATTGATATGATTGTGGAAGAAAGGAGCAGGCGAGACGAGGAGGAAGAGAGATTAAGGAAGAAATTTAAGGTTGGCTTTATATATATATTTGGATAAATATTGATCACCGTTATATGAATGAAAATAGATGGTTGAGATTAACAATAATAAAATTTAAAGATATTCACTAAAAAAGAACACAATGAGTCAATCTCAGGCAGAGATTGACAATTTAACCAGAATTTGATGCATTCCGACCTGGCCTGACCCGATAGGATCGAAATTTAAAATAAAAATTCAAGTTCGGGTCGGATCGATTTTTTAAGAGATGGGTCAGGTGGAGGGTGAAAAAACTCGACTCAACGATAGGATAATAATGCGTAATTTTCTTAAAAAATTATTATATTTTTAATTAAATCCTTAATTTATATCGGGTCGAATCGGGTATGATTTATACTCTAAAATCAGGTCGGGTCGAATGTAGGATATAAAATTTTTGGTTCGGGTCGGGTTTGGATGGAGGATATCTATTTTCAAGTCGGGAGAGATTGACAAAAAATCTTACCCTAACTCGATATGTTGTCATCCCTTATCCGAGCCATCTATTTTCATCGTTTATACTGTGGTTTTTTATCTTCATTATTTAATTTTTTGGTGTAAATTGTAGGATGCTTCTGTCACCATTGATGAATTGCTTGAGAGAGTGAAGCGGCTTGAAACCAGCGGAGTTGTGGCAACCTTCAAAACACAACACTGAGTCTTACCATAAGGTTAAGGTCTCGGTTCTTGAGCATTTAAATTTTAAAAAAATAATGTAATTTGTAGTACTATAAGATTTATAAAAACCTAACCTCTTAAATTATTTTTCTAAAATTTATAGAATCATCACTACTTGTTTTCAAATTTATTGAGAAATTTTACGTCTCTCTTGAGAGAAAATTGTAAAGTGTCTCATAATATATTTATTTTTTTTATTTTAATCTCAAAATTTTATCTCCCAACTTTAAAGAGGGTGTTGATAACGTCTTATACAAAAATATTTTACTATTAGTATATATGTGTCAATTCTGAAAATATTTCTGGACCCGTCACTGATTTTAATGTTAAAGGCGTTGGATATATTGGACACTATTATACAAATTTTATGCGCAATTCAAACAAGGATTAATTTCCTTGTAACACTAGGTGGTACATATATTTATTCCATAATAAATTCAATACGGGAACATGATGTAAGAATTTTTGTAGTACATGTATTTAATATACATAAATAAGCAACATTCAGTACTCCATGTACAAAACAAGGTGGTACATAGAGAATATTGTCTCTTGTTTGATGACTATCTCTATACATAAATATGGAAAACATATGATTTTTTAATCATAGTAAATGGGCATAATAGAGGGTGGTACATAATAAATATCGGTGCCTTGCACAATACGAAGCAGTGCCATAAAGATGTTCCCTCTTGTTCTTGCAACCACTGCTGAAATTTTAATTGCTTTTATAATCCTCAGAATTCGACCTTTAAAGCACCCTACGCTCGCTTCAATGTGCAATTTCTTTTTCTTTCATTGGTTACTAATTAATTAGACAAAAAGAGGCCACGTTTGTACGATTCTAATGTAGATACTCCGCGTCAATCGAGTGATCTCAGTAAAAAAAATCATTATTATTTCTTGAAGTCATAAGTTCAAACATAAAAATTATTAGATGTGTGAACGTTAAACGTCAAATAGTTGAGAGTTATCTTTGAACAAAGAATTATTTGTACGTACCCTAGATTAATCAAATAATAATAATGTAGATACTCAACGGAACAATTACAGACGTTTCAGATGGGTAAATGGCGTGATACATGATTTGGAGAGATGAGGGGAGGAGGGGGAAGAAAAAGGATAAAATGAAAAAAAAAATTATTTACATCAAAACGACATCGTTTTGATATAAATTTGAGCTTTTTAAAGATTTAAAACTGCATCATTTTAGTACAAGTTGTCATGTCATAACGCCGTTAATTATTTGACGGTACAAAAAAAGTTTAATGTCTAAAGTTAAGTGAGCAAATTGAAAAAATTAAAAGTATGATAAGTGAAATGGGAGAGAGAGTAAAGTCAATGAGTAAACGTGTAATTTACTCACAATTTTTTTTATGATTATGGAATATAAAAAGAAGAAGAATCTTAGAAACAAAATAAATTAATTAAAACAAAGCTAATGATTATAGCAAAGCAAAGATAAGTTAGCTTCCATTATCTATACAATGAGACAATGCTGAGCTACATTAATTAAATGGAATTTGCATAAGACGATACTGTAACACAACACTTAACAAACTACTAATATAGTATATAATCGAAATGCAACGGAAAAAAAACCCTAATTCATGCATAATTTGTCAACTAATTACCATCTAAGTCATAAAATGTTTTCTATAGGGGGGAGAATTAGAGCCAGAGAGCCCCTGCCTCCTTGAGAAGTGGCACCAACGTTCCATTAATATGCGACGCCATGACTCGGTCCATTGAACCTATCAGCTTCCCTCCGATGAAAACAACCGGAACAGCTTGAGAGTTGCCGAGAAGCCTCGTCAGAGCTCTCTCCATCTCTTGCCCTCTCGGATCCTGGTCCAGCTCGTACACCGCCGGGTTCACTCCCATCCCGCAGAACAGCCTCTTGACTGCATGGCACATGCAACAGGTACTCACGCTGAATATCACCACGGCGCTCTCCGATGCCAGCTTCGCCAGCCGCTCCATCGGGTCCGACCCAATGTTACTCGTTGACGTGTAGGACTCACCCCGGTAAGGCATCGTTCTCTAAACGGCGCACGATCGCAGAAAGCAAAGACGAGCGGTGGTAGTACTCGATCGATGGTGTCGAAAAATGTTCGCGATGCCGAGCCTTTTATAAGGGCGGGAGGTGCATGATAGTTAATAAAGGTGGGGTTTGTCCGTTGTTGTCGCCGCTGTTTTTGATGAATTAAATACAGCAGTGCCGGAAGCTTTAATGGAAGCTTTAAAGCGGCTTAGGGAGTAAGTAATTTGTCGAGTCTAGAGAGTAAAAGCTTGGTTGCAACTTTTAATCGAAGTACATAAATACTGCTTCTTCTTATCGCACAAAAGTGTGAATTTTTATTAATATTAAAGGCATTTGGGTGTTTGAGACAAAGCATCAGTCTTTTTGCTTTTCTGTCAGGCGAAAACTGGGAGTTCTTACCGTGTAGGACGGCTGCTCCCGTCCTTGTTGTCGGGCCGTCGGATTTATTAAGCCTGGCTAAATTACTCCCAACGATTATTAATGTTTCAGTAATAAATTTCTCTTTTCATTGTTAAAGTTTAAAAAATTATATTATAATTAATAATATTATTGATTTGTAATAAAATAATCACCTAATTATTAATATTTATTATTTAATAATAATAACTTTATGTGTTAAATGTCACACCTTTTAATAGATTAATATTAAGTTAATATTATTTTTTCATTAATAAAATAATGTCATATGTTATAATTTATTAAAAAATATATTTTTTATTAAAAAATATCATGTTAGCAGTTTTAATATGTCATTTCAGATTATCATTATCCAGATAATGAATGTTAACGGTTGAGTATTGTTTAAATATAAATTGATTATATTAGTCTATGTAACATAATTTATTTGGTATGTTTTCGTTTTATTATTTTAAATTAAATAATTCTTTGGTCATAAGTATTGTTTTTTCAAAGTCGATTGTTTCAGATTGATTTTGTTTGTATTATTTATGTTATTAGGTATAAATTATCTAAAAGTGTGGTAGTTTATTTTTCATTGTTGCTAACCACAAATTAAATAGAGGTGACGTAAGGAAAATCATTTAATTAATATCTTTATTAATAACATATTTTGGTATGAACTAATTTATCTCGGTAGTTAAAAGATTCGTAGTTGATTTTAGAGGTTACGATTTCGAACACTGACAGCTTATACTATTTTATTTCCTACATAAAGTTATATTTTTCTTCTAGATTTACTAAATCTTATGTTTTCTTAGATCTTAATTTTTTTTATCAATAACTAATACTTTATTTAACAAAATATTATGTTTAACTTTCACATAATACTCCTTATGTTTAGGGATGGGCATGGGTCGGGTTGGGTCGGCTATTTGGTCCACTCGACCCGACCCGAGAACAAGGAGTCCTCCATCTGAGATCCGATCCGACTAAATTAAGTTTTCACCGACTCGATATATAACTTAAAAACCGACTCGACCTGACCATAAATAATAAAAATTATTTTTATTCAATAAAAACAATGATTTAATTGGAAAAAAATAATATATAGAGAGATATTATTTTGATTATTCATAAATATATAAGGTAAAAATTTGTTTTTATTCAATAAAAATAATGATTTAATTGAAAAAAATAATATATAGAGGGGTATTATTTTGATTATTCATAAATATATAAGGTAAAATTATATATTTTTAGGATCGGGTATTTTTCACCCTAAACCCGACCCGAACCGAACATTACATTACATTTAAAAAAAAACCCGACCCGAACCCAATTTTTTTAAAAAAAATTGGTCAGAACCCGTCGGGTTTGGGTTTCATCCCCATCCCTATTTATGTTAACTTTCTTCTATCTCACTACTTGTAGCATGATCAAGCGAATGTAACTCCCTTCTATCTCACAACTTGATGTGAGCATGATTAGGTTAAAATTGTGTGTCCTGAATACTCCAAGAGGCTAATTAGGGAGGTTATAATATCTTTGAAAATTTGATTAAATAGAATTGTGGGGGGGGGGGAATGATGTATTTTGGAGATTATTTTCTTAAATAAGATATTTTTAATAGTAATACAGAAAAGATGTATAGAGCAGTCGGTATCTTTTGTATGATCTAGGAAACACATGGAATAGTTGACGTCTTCTTCATGACCTTGGAAGGCATGAGTGTCGATGGAGAAAACACTAGTTCTTTCATGTATCTTCGTGAAGATGACATATAATTTATTCGTCTTCCCTATCTATTGTTTATTTTATTATACTTAAAAGAAATAATTTTTCAGGTATTTTAGACAATTTTCTTTACGGAAACTGCTCTCAACCTGGTGTTGGGGGTAGCCTACTATCTTACCTCCTCCTTCCCCATATATATGGGAAAAAGGGACAACTATTTTTTTTCTTTACCACATTATTTAGGCAATTTTGCCTAATACCCTAGAATATCAAATCGTAACTCTCATCTACCTCACAATTTCTAACGAATGTACATGCATTTTTATATTTTATTATTATTAATTTTATTAATATATTACTTTTCTTTTATAGTGTCATTTTTAGGAGGAATTTTCATCGATATTTTTTTTGTATTTTATAATGTTTCTTTTAAATGAGATGATTATTTTATAAGTCTTAATTTTGAATGTAGGGCAGTCACTACAATTTTTTTTACGGATCCAATAAAATTTAAGATGGACACACACATATTGTATAATAATACAAAATGGGTGGATAACAATTTAAATGATATGAATCTGATTACCCGAATCGAGTTGCCTGACCCGAGATCTGATATAGACCTTAACATGATGATTCAAACTTGATTTAAAATTTGAAACAAATGAATTGATCAAAGGGTTAAATCAAGATCAAGTTGAGAAGATATATGAAGGAATGAGACTAAAATCGATGAAATTTAAAGTCTTTATGTGAAGGAAAACTCTACCTTGTTGATTGACGATCCCAAGTCTGTTCCTATGGTGTAAATAGTGATCAAAGCGGTATGAGCTAAACAAAGCTTTTAATCACCATTGTCTTCAGTGAGTTGATTAACATAAGTGACATATGTGAGAGTGAAGTAGGACCTCTTCAAGGTGACTATCAAACATAGTTCTTTCAAACTCTTACAGAACCAGACGATATCCATGGCTTTAAGGATATATCCATGAGAACAAATTCTTGTAAGAGAGATAGTTGGGTGAAATATGTCACTGTCTACATAAACGGTAGAATAGTTCAAGGACATCACATATACTATTTAACTAGTAAGGTAAATATACTGTCACAAGGGAAGGTTTAAATGAGGACACATACATATCCTATGCAACTATCGATCGTAGAGCTTATCACCACATCGTGTCAAAATGTTTTTGATTTCATTCATACGGTGGATTATTGGGGGGAAGTGAATTTTATTGATGGATTAAATATTTAAATTAGATTAATATTTTTTTACTATAACAAATTAAAAGATCTTTTTAATTTAAATATTAGTAGGATAATTATTCTTTGAATATGTCAAATTAAAAGGTATTTACTATCTATTTAATTTTGAATATTAAAGATAATTATATATTTTTAAATATTTTAAATTAAAATAATATCTATTTAAGTTTGAATGGTAAAAGATCCCCACATCTTTTGTATATTTCAAATTAAAAGATAATATTATATGTTTAAATTTGAATATTAAAATATATATATGATTAAAGAAAGTCTCTTGGTCGAAGATTTGTTTTAAGGAAACTATGTAGTGAGAGACCTTAACTGTTTCCAATCAAAAAATCAAAATAAAAGATTTTTTTTATTTCTATATATTTTAACTTATCTTTAAGAAGTTTAATTTCTCTTATTTTATTTTATCAAATCCGATTTCGTCTCATATTATTATTTTATGTAACATTTTCTATTCGAACAAGTTGTGGCCAGAATCCATACTGGAGCAAGGTAAATTACAAATAAAAGGTATTCAAGCCATGGAATCAGCTATTAAAGCAAGTAATTCTGGGCCTTCAAGGCTGCCTAGGATAACTCGACAGGAGGCTCCATCGAATATGTGGCTTAAGGTTAATACGGATAGGGCAAGGGACCTCCAAGACGGATATGCGACATGTGGGAGAGTGATCAAGGGCAGCGATGGAGAATGGGTAATTGGTTTTGCTAAAACTGTGAGAATCTGTTCGGTGATTGAAGCAGAGTTTGGGGGTCTTTGAAGGATTGTCCCATGCTTGGTGCATAGGAGCAAGGCAGGTAATTCTTAAGACCGACGGTGCGGATGCCTTTCAGTTGTTGTCGTGGAGTACACAAGGGGTGGTATTGCCTTCTATCCTTCAGCACGTACGAGAATTGGTGGATAGAAATTGGATAGTTTCATTTTCGCGAGTTCAACGAGAAGCGAATAGAGTAGCTGATACATTGGTAAAGATGATTCATATAAATAATTTTGCAGGAAAAATCTTCAGCATGTCTGAGAGGACGTCTTAGGGAAATTGCACATGCGATATGGAAGTGGAGGTCACAATCTTTACATCCATAGCCACCTCCATTCAATAGAAGACTTGTTCCACAAGCATGACACTCTCCGCGTATCCCGTCCTCGAGAGTCAAAATGTGTTGCGAATGAATTGAGACTCGCATCTCGTCTGGTAACCTAACACAAGATTCATGAATAAACCAACTGTTACATCTCATGCACCAGTAAGTTGGACCCATGATTTGCAGTCCACAAAACCAACATTCTAGTTGATATAATGGGTAAGTGTAATTGAGAAAGATAAGCTTATGGTTGTGGCTGAAATGGAATAACTCAGTTTCCATCTCCCACTCATTCGATGTCGATGCTTCACGTGCAGGGGGTGCTCGAGTGGCGCATTTCCAATCGAGTTTGAAGTTACACACTGTGCAATGATAAACGAAGCCTGATGAAAATTCTTGACACTCATCACATAAAATAAAATTTCGATCTCTAGCACAGAGGATTAGTTGATGTTGGGGATGAAGAGGGCGTTGTATCTCATCTGTTTCAGAAAAAATCTCATGGCAGGAGTCGCATCTGGAATCTTGCACATGCCTCCGAGAGTTGGACCAAAATAAGCGAGGCTGTGGTGGTGGCACTCGTGTTTAAGGGTTGGTAAGAGCTTTGCACAGCCAATATCAAGGTAGACTCCGCATTCTTGGCAACCATAGCTGGCTGTGCCCTTGAATTTTTCGTCTCCAACCTCATTTCTACAAGCGTTGCAATATAGTGTCATTCTGACATCTAAATTCAAGTCGTGATGAAAACCCAAGCGAAGAGGAGATGTGATGGATGGAATGGATGCTTCAAGGTTTTCGGGATCTCGTCAGCACAGAATTCATGGAGGAAGAAACTGCATCCTTTACAACCATAGACAATGTTGGTTAAAGGCTTGTCACACCAACCACAATTATAATCAGTTTCACCGGCACTGCTAAATTTGTACAGGATCAGCTGGTGGCGGTGACAGTAGTGTTGAATCCCCTCGTGATCCTCAGATCTCTGTCTCGTCTGATGATCACCACCACCTGCAAAGGCGCATGCTAGATCGACCTCGATATCGCACCGACAGCAGCCATAGCTGGTGCCAGAAGAAACTTTTAGACACAAGTCGCAGGTAAATTCTTCGTCATGACCAGACCAATCTAGTACAAGATGGTGGTGAGAGTGGAGAGGATGTGTAATCTCTCGAGGTAGATGTTGCAGAGCTTTGGCGCATAATTCGTGCAACCAAACTTGGCACCTTACACATGGATAGGCAGCTCCACGAATTTCCTCTCTGCATTTATCACAATTCTTGTAATCGCTCTCATGAAACCAAAGATAACCCATTGGATGCTCATGACTAGCAAGTTTGATCTCCATATTTCAAAAAAAAAGATGAGATTATTTGAAAAAGAAGATGAAAGATGAATGGATGGATGAATAATTAAACAAGATAGACAAAGAGATTGATAGAAAAAGTGCAGAAGTGGCAGAGATATATGCTTGGATTATTTGAGGAAGGATCAAAGTAATGGTGTTAAGGAGCAAGAATAACTGAGTTTCAAGTTTCAACGTTGCTTTGGACTAAATTTAAGTATCTAATTGACATTAAAATTAATATTCCATTTCTGCATATTATAATAGGTAGAATGATTGCTTTCGCCATCCTACTTTATGGTGTTTCTCATTTTGGCCCTTAAAATCTTTCAGCTCTCAAATTTTCTTTTCTTTTAAAATTAACTCAAACATGATGAAAATAATAACAAAACCATTAAATTTACGTAAATTATTTTGTCTTTTTAAAAGAATTTATTGTTCACGAATTTTTCTTTTATATCACGTCATAATTACGAAAATAATAAAATAAAATTATTAAAAAAAGTGTAAAAAATATAAAAATATATATATAATATTTGTAAAAAATATAAAATTACTAAAAATATTCTAAAGTTCTAAAATAAAAAACACATTTAAAAATATAATTTTCTTTCGAAAATTATATTTTTACACATCTAGTAATTGTATAGCCCTATCAATCGCCTTTATTTCATTCAAGCTTCTCATATTTGACCCTAAGTAGCAGCACCTATCAATCGCTGCCAAATAAAAAATGCACATCAAATAACCCTATCGCGACAGCTAGTGGTGCGCAAATCCGGGGATCCGGATTTTTGGTACCCGATTTTTGGGTACCGTAACTTTCGGGTCAACGATTTCTCGGCTTGTGTCTCGAACCGGGTGTTATGGGTACCTGGTAATCGGGTATCCGGTAATCGGGTACCCGGATGTTACGGGTACCCGGTAATCGGGTACCCAGATTTTATGGGTACTTGATTTTTTTATTTTTTATTTTCAAAATATTAATTTTAAAAAAATATACACAAATTTAAATGTTCGAAACTTCGAATTACATACTTTAATATCTGAACATAAAATTTAAAAGTTTGAAATACAAAATCTAATAATCCATAATATAAATAATTCATTATATTTTATATAATTATATATATATAAAAAAGGTAAAACTAGATTTTGTAACCCGGGTCCTATCGGGAAATGTCGGGCCGGGTATCCGACCCGGGAAATGTCGGGTCGGGTACCCGACCTTGCCGGGTATTTTTTTTAGAGAATTATCCCGATTTTTTTTAAATCCAGGTCGACGGGTCAACGGGTAGCGAGAACTAATAAAAAAAAGGTAAATTACGCATTTAGTGCTTAAACTATTAGTTTTTATTCGTTTTAGTATTTAAACTTTTAAATTTTTTAAACTCATATCTAACATTTAATTTCATTTTATTTTAGTACCGTACAGTTAACACATTTAATACCTAAAATATCAATTGATCCATTTTAGTACTTAAACTTGAAATCTGAAAGAATAACAATAACATTTCTCTTAGCAGTTAAAGAATTAATTTTATTTTTGGAGATTTCGAATTTAAGTACTTAAAAATGTAACGTTAAAAACGTTAAACACCTACTTTTAGCAAAAAATTATTTAGACACTAAAACGTTTTTTAAGACATAGACACTTATTTTAATATTAAGCTATTTAAATAATAGTAACTATTTGATAATGTTTTTTTTTATTAATGTAGGATAAATTACCATCCAGCTCAGTTGGTAGAGCATAAGGTTTTTAACCTTGAGGTCGTGGGATCGAGTCTTACAGAGAGCATTTCATAATTCGGAGATCTCTTACGAAAGTTGCTCTCAATCTGATATTAGGGATAGCCTAATATCTTAAATACATATGAAAAAAAAAGGGATAACTCTCTCTCAACCTATTAGCTTTAGCTGAGCACCGCTCTCGCCTGTTCATTTTGTGTTCTCTCCTTGCTGATTAATTTCCTTTCAGAAAACCCTAATTCCTTATTATTTTTTTCCTGAATTTTACATTGCCTAAAAAACAGGTACGTTCTTCTTCTTTCCTTGATCCGATTTGATTGTCCATCCATCACAGTTTGGTTTCCACTTTCCGACATCTTTTTTTATACATTTTTTCTGATTCAGATTTCTCGATTTCGTTTCTCGGATTGTTTAAAAGTAATTTTTTTTATTTTTTCTGAATCATATTTTAGATATTGATTCACTGGTTTATTTGAACGAATAGATAAATCCTTGTAGTTAGAGAGTTGAAGAATTATTTTGCACTAACCATTCTCTAATTACGCTCTAATAATAATATTCTGCATCTTTGATCCATAAAAGCTGGGAATAGTAATGGGACAATTAACAAATATGTGGTTGTTTTGTTGATTAGAGAAAAGTGAAGTGAAGGAGGAAAGATGTTAGCAATATCAAGGCAAAGGGTGAGTTCTTGAAACTCTCCTGCTCTTTCATATACCTATGTTGACGTTTCAGTTAATCTAATAGGCCATTGTTAATGTTTTGGTTCTGATTTTTGTTTATATAGATCTTGGGGCAATCTTTTCAGAAGATTCGCCCTGCAGTGTCAGGGTTGAAATGTTACTCATCTGCATCAAAACAGGCAATATTTTCACCTTTTTTATTCTTAGTGTATTTCTACAGTTTTTTTTGGGTTTGCTATTAGATATTAAGTTGCATTCTACAAGTGTTCACTCATTCAGAAAAGAGTATATGTGTTCAATTTCAGCAGCTGCTCTGTATGTTACTTAAGTAACATATTCAGAAGAAAGATTGCTCAACACACTCACGTGCACGTAGTTATGTTATCTTTATATTTGTGTTTGTTTGTATGTAGTTTGCTTCATCTTGCAGTTAATGTTAAAATGGCTTTTGTGATTGCAAATCTCTGAGAGGCTTAATTTTCAAGCAAGTATTGTCTTCTTGTTTGCTTAATGATAATCATGTACAGATTACAGTGAGAGAGGCATTAAACTCTGCTCTTGATGAGGAGATGTCAGCTGATCCAAAGGTCTTTTTGATGGGTGAAGAGGTGGGAAACATTAACAAAACGTTTTTCTAATACTATCTTGGCTTTTATTTTTTACTTTTATTCCCGTTCTTATGATTTTTGTTTCTGGAACTCATAAAATGCAGGTTGGAGAATATCAAGGTGCTTACAAGGTTTGCATTTTTTTGCTATGTATAATAGAGGCCATAGAAGTATTGCCACATCTGTCTGAAGACTGATTTTTATTTCCCTTTTTTGTAGATAACCAAGGGACTTTTGGAGAAGTATGGACCTGAAAGAGTTCTTGATACTCCGATTACTGAGGTTATTATGTTTTTCCATGCTTATGCTCCTACTCCTTTGTTCAGTTTATGAATTTCATTATTATTTTATTGAATGGTTAACCTCACATGCTTATTTTATGTTTTATTGATGCTTTTTAAGTTTTCATTGCGTTTTTCTCACTTAAGCTGCTATTTCTTATTTCACAGGCGGGTTTTACTGGGATTGGAGTTGGTGCTGCTTACTATGGTCTGAAGCCTGTAGTGGAGTTTATGACATTTAACTTCTCCATGCAGGTTAGATGATTCTGTTTGAATCTATGCTTTTGTATGCGCTTATTAGTTTGTGTGCTTCAGTATTAAGAAGTTTTGGAAACAATTTCTGAATGAATTGGCATGCATGTCATAAAGAAGAAAATAGAGATGGTAGATTATCACATGCTTTCTAGTTTAAAAACAGCGAAGTTAAAAATACTACAGTAATGCATCGGATGTTTTCTGGCGAGATATGGTTCTTCAGAAGATGTCCTGAAAAGTGAAAACTCTTCCAAGGAGATGCATTTTGTTGAAATGCAAACTCTTTCGAGTTTTTTTTTTTTTGGGTAGACTAGGGAATGCATCGGAATCTTTTTAGTTACAAGGAGATGGTTTGGATACTGTTCTAACATCATATGTACTTGGACATAGGCATGATGTTTTGCCTAGATATATATGTAGCCATTGTGGGCCAAAATTTCTTAAATTTAATGATACTTTAATATTGGTTGTTTTAATGGTAATAAACAAATTGAATGACTTCTTTCTTCTCTTGAATGTGTTTTTATCCAATTCTTATCTTGATGCTAATGTGTCTGTCATTTATTGCAGGCAATTGACCACATTATTAACTCTGCTGCAAAGTCCAATTACATGTCTGCTGGCCAGATATCCGTACCCGTTGTTTTCAGAGGTCCTAATGGTGCCGCTGCTGGTGTTGGTGCCCAACACTCTCAGGTATGGTTTCTTCATATTGTTACTGATACTGTCACCCATTATTTGGTTTGGTCACATACATCCACTCTCTGTTCCTGAGAGCCTGCTGAGGTTGAAACTTGATTTATTTTGCACTAGGTATTGTAATTATGGTTTGATTATTTCCATTTTATTGAGGTGTAGCTGAGTTTCAATATAGTAAGAAGCTTGTTTTGATTATTTGTTTTTTGGTTAATATCCAGTGTTATGCAGCATGGTATGCTTCTTGTCCTGGGTTGAAAGTACTGTCACCGTATAATTCTGAAGATGCTCGTGGACTGCTAAAAGCTGCTATTAGAGATCCCGACCCTGTTGTTTTCCTTGAAAATGAGTTGTTGTAAGTGAATCAATAAAATGTGATTCTTATGTATTGAGCAGCCACTATACTGGCCCAATGTTCAATAAGAATTTTGATGTTTGACATTGCTGTGATATGATCATTCTGTTTCAGATACGGTGAGTCATTCCCCATTTCTGATGAAGTTCTTGATTCCAGTTTTTGCCTTCCAATTGGGAAAGCTAAGGTAATATGCCTCTATGATGCTCCTTAAATTTTACTGTCAAGCTGTTACTATTGCTATTATTGATGCTTACACAATCAGTGATTCTGCTGTAATTTCCTTGATGCTGCATTCTGATAGCATTTAAAATCATGTTTTGGCAATCTACTTCTAACAGATAGAGAGAGAAGGAAAGGATGTGACTATTACAGCTTTTTCGAAAATGGTGGGCTATGCTCTTAAGGTAATGTCTTGTAAATGCAAGTGCACAACATAAAAGAACAATCTAAAGCAAATGGGATATCCAGGGTCATGTTGGGTTGCTTAGTTCTATTGTGTTTTTCTTTCTGTTTACATCGGTTGCAGTTGCAGTTTCCAAAAATTTAACTCGATAGTACATTTTTGGCTTGTAGAGCTATCAACTAATAAGACTTTTTTTTCAGGCGGCTGAGATACTTGAAAAGGATGGAATTTATGCGGAGGTAAAGTACAACACAAAGAAGTGCTAGTACTTACAAGTTAATATGATCTTGTACCTAAGATGTGTGGTTACCGATTTTGTTAAATACAGGTCATAAATTTACGTTCTATTAGACCACTAGATAGATCCACAATTAACGCTTCAGTCAGGAAAACCAACAGACTAATAACCGTTGAAGAAGGGTTTCCTCAACACGGAGTCGGTGCTGAAATCTGGTTTGGCTTCTTTACTCTTGACTCATTTAGTTTCTTCTCGCCATGTTTCCCGGTACGTTGTATATTTACGGAGTATACTTATTTGGCAGTGCATCTGTTGTGGAGGAGAGTTTTGCTTATCTTGATGCGCCTGTTGAGAGAATTGCTGGAGCCGATGTTCCCATGCCATATGCGGCAAATCTTGAGAGAATGGCCGTGCCACAGGTGAGATGATTCCCTTCTTCCCAATACAATGCTTGCCTTTGTTTTGGATTCGTATAGGCTCATTTGGGAATGCTTCTCCAAACGAGTTTTTCCACCCAAAAACACTATTTTTCTAATTTATTGGTTTGAGTCGATAATCACGTTTCAAATGTGAATGTTTGGCTGAAAATGAGTTGTTTGGAAATGTTTTTGCATTTCGAACGGAATTTTAGGCCAAAAACACTTCCATAAGAATTCCGAAACAGAAAATGAAGGATAGATTAATATTTCTTCGATTATGAACTCTGCAGGTTGAAGACATTGTCCGTGCTGCAAAGAGAGCGTGCTACCGATCTGTACCATTGGCTGCCACCGCCTAATCGAGCTAATCCCGGCAGGAAACTTCTCCTAATCATGGCGATTTGCACAATCATTTAAATTAAAATAAAATAAAATGAGGTCTTCTCTCCTAACTTAAATGTTTATTTTTCAGGAATCAGAGGGATACGATTGTTTTGCTTTTGTGGACACTGTTGTGCAGGAAGTGCATCAATTAATAACCGAGATTTGTTGGGAATTGTGACTTAATTGTCGTGGGAACATAACATCTACATCCCACAGTAGACATTTTATTTTCGATTCCAATAATTTTCATCCGAGGGATTCTTCCCTTTCCCCAGTCCTCTGCCTTGAATCATTTGGATATTGAACCGGACTTCGACGCATGGCTTATCTCGATTTATACGAAGAGATAAAATTAGGAACAAATGAAGGGAATGAACTTAAAGAAGTTGTACAAAAGACTTGGGAGATAAGAAATTATAAAATCTTCAATGTGTGAAATTAGATTATTGGTAAATATACAAATAAGATCTTTAAATTATATGAAGATTTTCTCGATAACACAAAGGAAGATTAGATGGTAAGCATAAAATTATGGGTAAATTATGTAGTTAGTAATTAAATTATTAGTTTTGATTCATTTTAGTACCTAAATTTTTTTTTTAAATTATACTTAAAGTTTAATTTTTTATTTTAGTACATGTTATAAATTTAACTTGCTTAGTACTTAAACTATTATTTGTCTGGTTCAATACTTAAACTTTTAATTTTTTCAAAATTAACGTTAAATTTTGAACAGGGTATAAAAATTAAATTTTATGTATGATTTAAAAAAAATAAAAGTTTAGGTATTAAAATGAAATTTACCAATTAATTATACAAAACATAAACAGAACTCCTTATAAAATTATTTTTATTAAAATATTAATTTTCAGATAAATTACATATTAAAAGTTATACAATAAAAATATTTTAAACACCCTTGTAATATTAAAAAATGAAAGTAATTATGTACAAGTGTTTTAAATAAAACATATGATATGTAAAAAATATATTATATGTTTTCTTTAATCCATAAAAAACGAAAACGTTTATTTATTTATATTTATGTTTTCTTTAATCAATAAAAGTTATCCATTTATTGTCATTCACCCCAAATCGTGGCTTGGAATGTCAACTCTCCTAAAGTTCTTTCCGTAGATAACCGAAACGTAGTGATTATATTGCTGAAGCAAATGTGATTTGTCTTTGTATAATTTGCAGGAGATGCGGGATATGATAGATTGCTACGACAGCTTACTCTCTGCAGCTGCAGCTGCAGCAAATAGTGATTACGGTAATTTGTTAACATGCTACCTTTTCTGTTTCTGCATTTGCTGTATTTCTTATTTCTGTAACTGAAATGAGCTTTTTGTGTTATGAAATTCATTTGTTATGCATTTGGAAGGTTGAACATTTTGATTTATGCCTGATTGTCCATGTTATGGTTGTATAGGTATCATTGAATTAGTTTAAGCTCTTTGCATGGCATGGTTTGTTCATTTTCCTGTTAATTAATACATTGACTTCAGAACTAGCATTCTTGGCATCTAAAAATGGTACCCAACACATAAGGCTCCCTCTATACACAGGGTATGGGGAAGGTAAGCTCTTTGTAATGATGGCATGATTTGTTGTTTTCATAGTAATTAATTCATCGAGTTCAGCTCTAGCATTATCATCATCTAAAATTCACACATAGTGCACAAGTGTTCTTATGTAAGAAGGCTTGGGAGAAGGTCACAAGTTATGTATCTTTCTCCCATGTTTATATAGGGAGACTTTTTGGGATTTGATTTCGTGACTAAGCGGATAACAAGTAGACACTTGACCACTGGGTCAGGCATGACCTTCTAGCATTATTATCGTCTGCTAGTTTATATGTTTGTTTCCGCATGATGAATTCAAGTGTCCTTTTATTTCTTTTCAAGTCCATGCCCTAGAGGTTGACAATCTTGTAAATCTAACTGTGCGGTAGTTCTATAAAAATTATGTCATTGGTTAATTGATGGTAATTATATGTTGGCTCAAGCTCAGGCATGGTTATCAAACATTAATTATATGGTTTCTGATTTTGATATGGGAGATTTTGTATGCTATGCCAATCCTGAGATCACTGTTGCAGTCCTGTTTTCCCCCCCTCAGAATTCTCAGTATCATTGCGGGAAATGGGTGATTGTCTTCTTGGAAAAATTTAAGTTAATGATGATGAAGAAAGTGGTAAGCAGATATATATTATTCTAATATCATGCTCAATGTTGCCCGTTACATGAACAAATCGCAAATAACTTTCCTCGTTAGACCTTACAAATTACACTTGAACTGCTTTCCTTTCCAGTAAACAAGTTCTCTGCTATAAATTGCCAGTTTGAAGGTACTTTTATTTTAGTTTGTCATCTTGGATTTAAGAGATGAATCAAGTGAAATCTTAGCTTATTCACTTTCGGTATATCTGACATGAGGAATCTTCCTTGGTCTTTCGACCTTCAATCTCTGAAGTTCTAGCATGATGCAATTATTTTATTTTACTTTATTTTTTTCTAAATCTGTTATAGCATAGATGCTATTTTTACCTAGTCTGGCACATTCAAATAATAGTATTTGGTTTTAGGTGCATCATAGTATTATATATAGCAGCAGACTAGTCTGAAAAGGGATATATGAAAATAAGCTGCTTTAATGCAGGTAAAGTATTATTAATGTTCGGAAAAGTACAGGTTGGACTCCAGAAACTTGTTGACAGCTATGTGAGTCTCCTCTCTTTCCTTTTTTTTTTTGTGGGTTTACAATCTGGAAGCTCTGCAAAAGTTTTCATCTAACTTCTTTACTGTTCTAATAATTATTAGTGTGTCCTTCAGCGATCTCATAATCCAGACAATCACAAGCCCATCAGAGTCCCTTCTTAATGAACTTCGAACAGTTGAGGTTAGTTCGTATGAACTGCTTCATCCAATTTTGTCTAGTTCTGCATGGTCTTTTACTGTATAAAGCTATTTCTGATCACTCGATCAAGTGAATATTTTCACTTCCAGTTTTGCATTTGAATCTTCATGTTAATTTAGTGCTCAATTATTTGATTGTAATTGTTTGTCTTTTTAGTGCTCTTTACTTTTCTACTTTCTGGACATGTACCAACCAGGATGCGGCAATGTGATGAGAAAAGGTCCAACTTCTATTTTTTAATAGATAAGCAGATACAGAGTTAAGGATAATGGCTTCTGATATTTGATGCATTATCTACAGAAATGTGTACGAGTACATGGCAATGAGACACGAAGAAACTGGAAGATCAATATGTGGGAAAGGGGAGAATTTCTCCGCACAACATTTACAGGTAGTGTAGCACATGATGAATATCAGGAGGAAGCAACTTTACCTTTTTTCCGCTTGAAATCTCTAAAGCAAGGACAATCAAGAAGCCTTCTTACATAAGCAGCAAGACACCATGCTGCTCAGGTTTCTTTTCCGTTTTTTTCTTTGCTGAACTCCTTTTATTGCTTCTGCTGTTGGTTATTGACCTATTTCCTTTTTCTTGAAATCAGCTGAATTTTTTTAAGAAGGATCTTGAATCCCTTGAAGAAGTAGAGCCACATGTGCAGAAGATCACTGAAAAGCAGCATATTGAGTACCACTTCTGTGGACTTGAAGATGATGGAGGAGAAAATGGTGATCTGATGGAAATTTTGAAAATGAAGAGTGGTGACGTCGACGAAGAGGATGACGCTGATGACCACCATGATGGTGAATTGAGCTTTGATAATAGACAAATGACCAACATCAGAACGTATTTCTACATCACAGAATTCAATGGAGGTGACTACCTAACTTGCTATTTCTTGTTGAGAAAAGCTAACAGACTTTTTCTTTGCAGAAATGCTATCGCTTTTTCTTCCTTTTTGTGGAATGGATCTCATTCTCCCGAGTGTTATAAAGAAACTTCCATCTCACACAGGGCTCACATTGCAGAAAACAAGAATCAGGTCTATCTTCACCTCCAAATGTATTAATTATAGAATGATTTCCATGTCATTTTTTTTAAGAACATCTAGAGTGATAAAGTTACGGAAGACATCGAGACGAATTCATTGATATTTAAAATAACCATAAAATGATGGTTCCAGCAACAACTTCAGAAAAGAAAAAAAAAACCTGAAATTTAGAGAAGAAGATGAAAAAAAATGAAATAAGAAAAAGTCATATTATATAAAAACGAATTAAAATTTAGCTATACTTCAGCAAAAAGAAGGTCATGTCACCCGTATGTTTTAGAATTAAAATATTTAATTCACATGAATTCTTATAACAAATATCTAAAAATATTTATCGGATATAAAGAAAGGCTTAAGGGGTCACTTTAGTCCTTGTAGTAGACCAAATTATCATTTTCATCCTTATTGTATTTTTGCATCAATTTAAAATTATTTAATTGCATTATTCTATGTCCGTCTCCTAACTTAAGTTAGTGTTTAGGGTTAATAGGGTTATATTTAGGGTTTAAGGTTTTAAGTTAGAGATAGGGTTGTAGAATGATGCAATTGAGCAATTTCGATGACTAAATTGATGCGAAAATACGATAGAGGTGAAATTGATAAATTGATGCGAAAATACGATAGAGGTGAAATTGATAAATTGATCTACTAAGGGGCAGTATCACTATGAGCCTGTGTTAAACTAATTGACCTATCTTCACCTATCCCATTCCATTCTATCAACCTCTTACCCATTGCACCTTAGATTCCCTTCTGCCACTCCAAAGTAAACAAAATCCAAAAGCTTCCTTTGCAACTCCGTCGTCTTGTTCATTTTTCTACCCATAATGTTTCTCTTCCCGAATCTTTTAGAACACAGGAGTGTGACTGAGCAGGGATGGACATGGGACTGGTGGGCACAAATCTCTCTAAAAAATTTAAATTTTTAGAAATTTTAAGTATTTTTTATATTTTTTATTGAAAATATTTTTCACCCATTTTTATAAGTTATCTCTTGCTTAAAGTTTGTTCATTAACATAAAATATTACGTCCGTACCTCTCTTCATCATATTAGACTAATATTATATTCCCTACATGAAATTTTTTAGGCTTAATTATAAAATAAATGTCCAGACTATATTGTTTATAGGTGTCCAGACTTTTTTTTGAATCATTCATGTGTTTAATGTTACAAACGTTACTACTTTATGTACTCAGGCCGTAAATACCGTTAAGTTTTATTGTTAAAAGGCATATGTCATGCTCTGGTAATTTTAAAAATTTTTAATTTTAATTTTAAAAATTAAATTTTTATTTAAAAAACAAAAAAATTGAAATACTTCAAAAGGCCCCAAAACTTTTAAAACCCTTATTTCAACCCCTAAACCCATATCGACCACCACCATTTTGGTGACAATGAAGCTCCACCCAACCTCACCTCCACCCGACGAAAAACCTATGAAATCGCGATCAATCAACTTTTGCACCCTGACAAACCCTACGCTGTAAATTGTAACCCCACGCTATCTCGACGGCCAATCGATGGCAAATGACTAGGAAGATAGTAAGGATTACGTCGACGATAGTGGTCGTGGCCGACAAGGAAGACATCATTGGGTTAGGGTTAGGGATTTAAGATTTTTAGAGATTGAGAGTTTTTGTAATTTAAGAGAAATTAGAGTTTTTTTTTATAAATTTATAATTTTTTAAATAAAATTTTTAAAATTTCCAGAACGTGACACGTGTCACTTAACGAAAAAACTTAATAACAGTTATAATCCGAACATCTAAATTGATAACGTTAGATACCTAAATGATTTAAAAAATAAATGTAGACATAAACAATATAGTTACAATTGATATCTATCTGTCAGTGCTCACGTTTTAACCAGGTGGCTAAAACAGAAAACAAACAAACCCCCATCTTATCTTTCCAACTTGGCACTGTCCAAAAACCAAATGCCAAAGCCTGCACGTGATCATCTCTTCACAAGAACCACAATGGGTCGGGTCGGGTTGTGTTTAACCATGACCCCAAGTCCCAACGACTTATTCTTTACGTTAATATTTCTAATCGCAGAGTCATGGAGGTTGAGCCAATATAAGGTTGGTGGTAGCCGGTAGGGGAAGGTAATGATGCGCAAATGATGATGATTATTATTAATTGAGATGGATAGATAGTTATTGGGGGACAAGACGGGGATTGAAGTTTGGGGACTCATATTATCTTCACCACGTGTCCAACTGATGGGGCACTTCAGAGTTCAGACCCCTCTCCCCAAAGGCACCTTTATTCTCTGACATCGAATTTCTTTCTTGCTTTGACTTACTATTTCTAAACTAACCATGTGTATGTTTCTCCTTCCTCTCTCTTGATTTACAGTTGTTTAATGGTCCAACTTGGTAGAGATGAAACGCTAGTCCACATGAATCAAGTAGTAGAAAATTTGTTATTATTCTTTAAAGTTTCGAATTCGAGCCCTCGGAGCATTAATAGTGTGAGAGACTTCCATGTCAAATGATTAAAAGTTATATTTGAACAGATATTATCTGTAACTAGTCCAATAAAAGTCTTAATTAGAAAGATAAATTACGTGTTTGGTATCTAAACTATCAATTTTGATCCGTTTTAGTACTTAAACTTTTATTTTTTCAAAACCATACATAAACTTTAGTTTTGTTTCATTTTAGTACTCAACTGTTAAAAACTTCAGTTTTTGTTCCATTTAGTATCTCGTTCTAAATTTAAAGTTAAGTTTTGATAATTTTGAATGTTTAGGTACTAAATCGAACCAAAACTGATAGTTTAGGTACTAATTGTGTTAAGTTTTTAACGGCGGAATACTCAAATGAAATGAAAACTAAACGTTAGGTATGGTTTTAAAAAAATGAAAATTAAGGTACTAAAATGAACTAAAACTGATAGTTAGATACTAAAGGTGTAGTTTACCCTAATTAAACCCTTATAATTATCACAATAAAGGTCTTGGAGAGAGAAAAAAATGGATCACAGATCCATAATATGAACTATAGGATGTTGCCTGCAACAATGTTGATTCATACATCACTAACTCATATTTATTTCAGATTTGTATTAAAATTTCATGTAATAACTCATGTTTACTGTGTCCAAAGCAGCCAAATCTAGAAACCTGACATACTTGGTTCATTTTGGTACTTCCTCCCAACTTAGCAAACACCAGCAATGGATATAAGCTGATTAATTCATTCTTACACTGTGGCACCATTGAATTAACTTTAAAAAAAATGACAAATTTTAAGAGTTAATTGTATCATATGCCCCCAAATTATAACCTTCATTTTAAATTAATCCTTAAACTTTAAATATTATAATCTCATCTCTAAACTATGACTCTCATTCTAGGTTAGTCATTAAACTTTTGAATTGTCTAATCACATCCTTAAACTATGACCCTCTTTCTAAACTGGTCCCAAACTTTTGAATATTTCAATTTCATCCCCAGATTCATCCAGATATGTAATTAGTTTCAACCGTAGTTTAACCTAAATTTTGTTTTTTTTCCCAAACATATAATAATATAACTTAGCATGGCGATTTTATTAACAAGATATGTGATTAGTATATGTGTATAGTTTGGGATGAAATTGAAATGTTAAGAAAGTTTGGGATGAAATTAATTAAGAGTTGCTCGTACTAAACCTAAACCTACTCATGGGCCAAAGTGACGTTCTTAGTGAGGGAGAACAGAAAACAAAGAATGATTCACATCTGTCATAAATGAAAATCCAATTCAGGGAAAACTAGTTAATACGAGATTAAAGAATATCTGGGGAAACTAAAGGTAAAACAAAGGTGACTGAAATGGCAAATATTATTCTTTGTTTCTTCACCATTCACACAGTTGCAGGCACGCCTAGCCTAGCCTAACCCAGCCTAGCAATGCATTCTTCGAACAAAACCAAACTAAAGAAGAGAAGATACAAAATCTGGGTTTTCATGGAAACCTAGCTAGTTTCGGGTCGATGATCAAAGTGAAGAAGACGATCCTTACATTTGGGACAATCTTCTTCTTGCTTGGGAACCATGAAGTACATCAGACAGCTCCTACAACCAGCAACAACCAAGACGTTGTCGTTGTCTTTATCCGCCCCAAGGCGGCTGTTGCTGTCGTCCTCCTCGTCGTCGTGATGCACTTTATCTCTTGTAGAAGATGAGGGAGACGAGTCCGATGAAAGCTCATCGCTTTCGTACAAGCTGTCATCGTCTTCATCGGAGTAAAAATCTCCACCGTAATCAGCAGCTGTCCTTGGATCCTCACTTGCTTTCGTTCCATTCCTCCAGTTTATGTAATAAATCTCCCCTGTCTGCTAATAACACCCCCATTAAACAGTAACACAGAATAATTAGCAGAAATTGCCCAAGATAATTCTTTTAAATCTCTGATTTAACAGAACAAAAAACAAAGAATAATACTTTTTCTGGGTTCTAAACCAACCTGTAAAACGAAAGAGGAGAAGGAAAAGCCAGTTTTTTTTCTCTAAATTATTAGGGCTGTGGACTGAAACCCTAGGCTAAGCATGAGTATGGGAGAAAGTGAGACCATCGGCAAAGCAATAAATGCAAGAAGAAAGAACAAAAAAAGGCCATTAAAGAACAAAAACCAAAAGGAAAGAGCAAAATCTGCCATGGTGTTTCGCATTAATTGCGTTCTGAAACACGAAAATGACCAAAACCCGTTGTTTGTAACCATTAGTAGAGGGGGGTAAATACACATATACTACAAAACAGAAAAAAAAATAAGAAAAAAAAAACACAAACCTTTAGATCAAGGCATTGTTCCCAATGGTGAGGAAGAGAGAGATGGGAGTTGAGCTCCAAGCTAGTGTCAGAGAAGGTTTTTGAGAGGCTGTTATCATCTTCGGACCTCCTCCCTTCTTCATCAGCAGCCGCCCCACCACCGTCGCTTCCGCCGCCTCTTTCGTGGTTCAAAGAACACTTCTTTAAAGATCTCTCCAGTGATTCCGTGATCGTCACCATGTTCGGTGCTGTCATTCGATCACTCAAAATCCTATCGAAACAAGGAAACGAAGATGAATTCAAACAAGAGAAAAGGGAGAAGCTTGGAGATGTGCGATTATGAATGAAACACCATGAAACAAAGGAGGGGGAAAAGGGTAAAGATGGTGCTGATGGAGAGAGATGCAGTAATTAATAACCCCAAGGTGGAGCCGCATCTGCCACCACCAGAGAATCACTGTGGGTTGCATTTTGTATCTCACATCTGTGTATTCGCCTTTCAGAAAGCTCACGCGCACACCAGAGACGCGTGATGCTCCCCTCTTGATTACTATATACATGCTAGTTTAGGGTTTGTGTAATCTTTGTTAGGGATATAAATATTTTAAGGGTAAAGTATAAAAATGGTACCCGACTATAGGATATGACTTTGTTGAGTCACTCAATTATTTAAAGTTACAAAATAATCAACTGATTATGAAATTTGAGCCCCTAAATTATTAAAAGCTACAAATAATCACTCGACTATTCATTATGTTCTAAACTAGTCATTTATTATTAAATATAACGATCGTTTGAGTTAGATGTAATAAAATCTAATGTCACAATCTCAAACGACTATCATATTTCAGTCAACGTGTTAACGTCCAACTCAGAATACTGCTAATTTTTTAACAGAAAGGACAAGTTTGGAAGATAATGAATAGTCATGTAATTATTTTGTAACTTTTAATAGTCAATGGACTCAACAAAGCAACTCCTTGTAGTCGGGGGACTATTTTACAATTTTTAATAGTCAATAGACTCAACAAAAGAATCTCCCATAGTCGGAGGACCATTTATGTACTTTACCCAATTTTTCAATACCTTGTTTTAATATATATTACTATAAAAATTAAAAATAATGTTCGGTGGATGTTAGGAACGAGATTAGAATAAAACTTTAAAGATAAGAATAAATAATAGTAAGATATAAAATATAATTTAGTTATTAAATAGCCAATTTTAAAATTAAAAAATTAAGATGTTAGTGTTCTAATTTATTTGATTTTAAAATTAACAGATATTGACATGAAATTCGTATGCACACTGAAAACCAATTTCCAAACGAACAACGAAACGTAGATATTTTGCTGTGAACATGACGGGTTGCGTGTATAACCTATTTAAAGCAAATTGTGTGACTTGATGAATTGTCCAAACGAACAACTAATTTATTATTTATTTATTTTTATTTATATACCTGTAATAATTATTAATATTTATTTAGATTAAACGTTATAAAAAATTATTTAAAAATAATTCTTTTAATCTTTTATTTAATTAAAATAGATGAATTGTCCAAAATATCTACAACAATGATATTTCGTTGTATAATGATTTATTTTTATCTTATCTATATATTAACCCCAGAATTTTTATCCGCCAAATTCTAGTTTTAAGTTTTTAAGACTTAATATTTTATTTTAAGGGTGAACTTAAACTTATAAAATTAAAAAAAAAACGAATTTAAAGTTATAAAATTTTAGATATACGAAAATAATTTTTTTATTAAAAATATATAAAAAATCTAAAATATATAATAATTTTAAATTTTTAGAAGGATAATCGTTCCTACTCGTCTCGTTTAGGTATATCCCTTATGATAGTAGTAGGAGTAATGTATAATTTGGAATTAAAAAAATGAAGTTTTTGTCCTGTGAGTTTCCCGAGTCATTCCCTACACGTTAACCGAGGATGCTGGGTTTTCAACTTACATTTAATAGCATGGAGTGTCGGCATTCCCCTTGCCGATGCATTTTGCTTCTTCTTTCCTATTCTAATTGCTACTCAATTATTTAGAGTGTGTTTAGTTCATCGAATATAAGATTATCGGTAATAATAAAATATTATCAAGAAATATAATTAATGTTGTATTTTGTGTTTAGTTTGTTTAATAGGAATGTAATATTATCGTGTTTGGTTAAATGAATAAAAAAATTATTAGAATATATATTTTACCAAATTACTCTTATTATATATTTATTTTTTTAACAAGTTGAATTATACCATAATATTACTATAACTAATTTATATATTTTCTTTAAAATATTTAAATTTATAAAATTTATATAATTTTTTTTATAAAATTAAAAAGATAAATAGGTTTAATGAAAGGGTAAAATTTTATTTTAACCCCTGAACTCCATATAAAATTATAATTATGGATTTTTTTTTGTAAATCTAAAATAGTTTAAGGATAAATTTGTAATTTAACCTTCGTAGAATTTTTATTATTCAAACGACAGAAGAATGATAATTTTGAAAGAAAAAAAATTAAGGGCATTTTAGTCCAAAATGTCGGTAATCCAACAATACCTAAGGGAAGAGAGGTAATCACATTCCCAGTAATATATCCAAAAATACACTGTCAGTAATAAAAGATTACCGAAAATAAGATTATCGGCCAACCAAACGGGAGAATGAAATTCTCCGATAATGTTGTATGTCGTGAACCAAACGGACCCTTAGATAATAGCCTCTCTTTTCCCTATATGTCATGTTAAACTGTCATACAAGAAAATGTGTCCATAAAAATAATATTTAGTAAAATAAGTCTTGGTGTGAGATTCAAATTAGGGATGTAAACGAGCCGAGTCGAGTTTGAGTTTTGCTGAGCTCGACTCGACTCGAAAATTCTGAAATAGAGTTTGACTCTACTCTGAAATGGAGTTCGACTCGACTCGAAAACTCACGAGCTTAAAATTTTCAAGCTCGACTCGAACTCGAAATCCAGAAATGAAGTTCGTGAGCAGCTCGAAATGGCTCGAAAATGAAAAAAAAATTCTTAAACTTAACTCGATTGAAGACTCAAACTCAAACTCGAACATGAACCTTAAATACATGAAATCTTATTGTATTTTTAAAAAAATCAATACATAAATATTAATATTATTAATAATTTATTTTTTAAAAAAATAGATCTTAATATATTATATTTTCGAGGTGTTCACGAGCTTTTCGAGTCGAATATCGAGTAGCTCGTTTCGGCTCGTTAAGAACTCGAGTCGAGCTCGAGTCGAGTCCATTCGATCCGAATATTTATCGAGCCTTGATCGAGTCGATCTCGCGCGATCTGTCTCGTCTCATTTAAAGCCCTAATTCAAACTCCTCAATATATTTAACATCATATTTTTGGAATGTTTATATTCGATTAGTCTTGTAATTGCATCTCTCATAGTCTTAAAGTCATCTCCTTCAGACAGGTGCATGGAGAGCTCCTTGAGAAGCGGGTGAGTTTGAAGTAAGTTGCTGCGGCTAAGACCCTACTATTGCTTGGATAGTGGTTTTGGATAGGCTCCCTACCAAGGGTCGTTTTGTTTCTTTTGATTTTGATTATGGATAGTTCTCGTCTCCTATGTTTATCTGAGCCTGGAACCGAGATCATTTCATTTATTCTTAAAGTGCTCATACTTCAAGCAGGTTTGGAGGAGTTCATCACTAGGTCATGTCTTGGAACCGGGAGTTTGAAAGGGCGACCTCGCACTGCAAAGAGCAAGTCTTTGCTTTCCTTTATGTTTAGACCTACTTAGAATTGTTTTGTGGCATTGCTTTGGAAGGAAAGGAATTACAAGATTTTCCGGAAGCTTCGTATGCTTAAAATGGGACTGTTGCGTTGCTTAAAAGAGTTGGTTCGATTGAAGGTTGAAGGCATAAGTTGTGCGAGGGTTTAACAACTTAGCCATTCTTATCGTAAGAATTAGGGAATGAGTTCTGTAAGTAGTGATTGATTTGTGATTTATTTATGTCCAGTTTTTTTTTAAGTTTCTTTAGATACAATATAAGTGTTTATTCAAAAAAATTATTTTTAACATTTGTATTTTTTTCCCAACCCTATACGTAGATTTACAAATGAATTCATACATACAAACAAAGAATCAAAGACATGAAATATGGGCAGGGACCTGTTTGAAGACGCATAAATTTAATTCAAACCAAAAGCTCGAGTTTTTATATTATTATCAGTACAAAACAGTATCTGTTCATAGATAACTCTACCTTTCGACATGGAACGCCTACACCTGGCATATAAACATTCTCTTTATCAAAAATATAAAACTTTTACTACAAAAATTTGTTATTTACTTGACGCTAATGAAAAAGCTTAGATCTAATCTTTCCAATTTTCTTTCACCAAGAAACCAAAGTTTGGCATATTTGAATTTGATTCCAGAAAAGACCCAAATTGAAGTTTCTTTAACGTCAAAATCAATAAACCAAAAATCAACCTTAGAAAGACACCAAATCTTATACTCCAAGCTCAAAACCGGCGTCCGACGACCGGCAGGCTAAAACTGGAGGCGTCCGACAGAATTTTAAAAGCTTTTATGCGATCCTTTTTCCAGAACTTTAAGGGAACAAAACTTTTCATAGAAAAAAAAAACTGTTTGGCCGGAGATGCGGAAGGCGGAGAGGCATCTGAGCATCAGTTTTAAAAAGCTGAATTATGAAGCTTCGTGGATTAGAATCAGAATAACAAAAAAATAAATCATTCATCAATTGCTCAGATCCCTCGTCTTCTCTTTCTTCGAGAAAAGAACTAATAATCCAACACAAAAATAAAGATACTTTCAGCAGAGCATAAAAGAAGGGGGGAAATCGGTTCACTTCGTAGAACGGAACACCTTGGCCGCCCCCTATATATACTGCACAAAAATGAGCCTCCCAAACCCTAATTGTCATTTCCCACTTAGGTTAGCTGCAAGACCGACCTCCCAAGTGACGTCGTTTAGTTAATCTCCGGAACTCAAAACGCGCCGTTTTAGCGAGATTTTGTGTTAATATACTATTCGGTACCTGAATCTGATTTCATTGCTCATATTGGTACAAAACTGTGCGAGATAATCATTCCAAATACCAAAATGTGACCGAAACCAAATTTAGATTAAAATATATAAGTGATAAAGTAAGTGAAAATTTTCAAATTTGATCCATGCATATTTTTTATATTAATATTTAAACTTTGTTTTTTTATAATTTTAATAATATGACATAATTTTAAAATATCACATCATTAGAGAGATTTAAAACAAAAAATTATACAATTTAATATTAATATGAAGAAAAATAATTAAGGTAGGTTATGTTCTAGAAAATATTTTCTATTTTTATTTTATGTGGTTTTAGAAAACAGTTTTCATTTTCATTTTTTTGAAAATTAGAAAACGTGTTTGGTTAATATAAATGAAAACTTTGAATTCAAAACTAAAATACTAAAAATATATTTGGTATTTAATTTTTTAAAAATAGAAATAAATAAAATATTTATTAAATAATTAAATTATAATATAATTATTAAAAATCATTACATAAATTTAACATATGAGTTATACAAATATAAAACAATATAATTGATAAGAAATTTCGTAACAAAAAATTTATAGTTTTTAGTAAAACTATAATGTTAATGCATATTAGACATTAATTAAATTTTAAAAAATATTCAAAAATATTGTTGTAAGTAATAGCACACAAAAGTTTAATTAACATAAAAAAACTTGTTTAGTGGTAAATAAGACCCTCACACTTTTGGGAAAATAATTAGTGTAGTCCCTGAACTTTCTTTTCATCAAATGTGATCGTTAAACTTAGAAAAAAAATATTTATGTAACAATCTACAATATTGATGTACAATTCACAATACTAATGTTACAGTACTCGATGGATGATGATGTGGTAGATGGACTTAATTGATTATTTTTAAATGTTTGAGGACTTATTAATTTTAATTTTTTTTAAATTAAAAACATAAAAAATAAAAAATAATTAAGATATTCAATAAATTAATATAAAATACTATAAAATTAATTTAATAAAAATTAATTTAAGGATTACATTGGGATCATATTGACTTTTTACAAAAGTTTGAGAGTTTTAAATACCATTAAATCAAAAAAATTGTTAGAATGATTTAAACATGTTAAGTTAAAAATCTATATATAATATTTTCTTACTTTTTGAATTTCCAAAACAATTTTATTGAAAATATTGAAAACATATTTTTTTTTATGTTTTCATATTTTCACTTATTTTTATTTTCATTTCCTATAAATTATTTTATGACCAAACATGTTTTCTTCAATGTTTTCTATTTTTTATGAAAATGAATATGAAAATAACATATATTTTCTAAAACCAAATGGACCCTAAGTGACTATTACAAAAAAGGTAAAGTATTCATATAATTATTAAATTATATGGATATTTTCGTTTTGATCATTTAACTATTATACTACTATCAATTAAGTCAATCACGATTAATATATGATAGAAATGATTATGTGATAGTTAAATAAAATTATATAATTATATTTTTTTATCTTTGTTACTTACATATTCTATTAATCTAATTCTAATTTTTAATTCAATGATCAAATTAAAAGCGATCATATAATTTAGTGGCTATCTGAGTACTTTACCCTAAAAATCAAATTTTGGGACTAAAAGGTACTTCATTTTAAAATATAAGTTATAATTTAAAGGGTAAATTATACATTTAGTACCTAAACTATTAGTTTTAGTTTGTTATAGTATCTAAACTTTCAAAATTTTTGAAATCATACCTGAAGTTTAGTTTTTTCTTCTTCATTTTAGTACTCCACTATTAAAAACTTTAGTTTTTGTTTCATTTTAATATTCACCATTAAAATATTAGTTTTTATTTCATTTTAGTATCCCGTTCAAAATTTAACATTAAATATTTTTAAAAATTAAAAGTTTAGATACTAAAACGGATTAAAACTAATAATTTAGGTACTAAATACGTAGTTTACCCTGATTTAAATCTTAAACTAAAATTCAGATTCCAAATATTATATTAACCCTTTCGTATTTTATTTGGAACGGACCGGTTCAACCAGCATCCTTAGAAGCATTGACTTGTTTATTTCTGAGTGCGAGTATCAGCAGAAGGACGCACATTTGATTCAAAACTCTGTTTTTCCTTGAAAAATAGTAGGTCCATACCATTACATTCATATATTTGATTCGTTGCTCGTCTTTCTGACTTTCTTCCTCATTGCTTTCAAAGCATTGACGCTTGCATGATCAGATTGTTCACCAGCAGAGCACTGCGGCCCTCTAATATTTCTGCTGTGTACCGAAAGATCAACCCTTTTGTCTGCTCTTCATCATGTGGGTTATCAGCACAAGCAGCAGCAATCCAGACCCAGCAAAACCCGAGTTTCATAAACGAGCCATGCTCGCATTTCGATTCTTACAAGTATGGTTCCTTGCTTCAACTTTGTATCCAAAACGATGACCCCATTTCAGCAATGGGTCTTCACTGCAAGATCCGAAAGAGCGGTAATTGCTTAGACTTGTTTGCTACAAACATTCTCTTGAATGTGTATGTAAAAGCTAAATTATTGTCCCAGGCTGAACTTCTGTTCGATGAAATGCCTGAGAGAAACACGATTTCGTTCGTTACTCTAGTTCAAGGCTATGCACAGTGTTTGCAGTTTTCTGAAGCCTTGGGGTGTTTTCTAGGCTGCATAGGGAAGGTCATGAGCTTAACCCATTTGTTTTTACTTCCATTTTGAAGGTGCTTGTCAGTATGGAATGCTCTGAGTTAGCTTGGAACTTGCATGCTTGCATTTATAAGCTTGGCCATGAGTCTAATGCCTTCGTTGGAACTGCTTTAATCGATGCATATTCTGTTGTGGGTGTGTTCACTTCGCGAGAGAAGTTTTTGACGGGATTAGATGCAAGGATATGGTTACTTGGACAGGAATGGTAGCATGTTATGCAGAGAACGACTATTTTCGAGAGGCATTAGAGGCTTTTTCACAAATGAGATTGGTCGGTTTTAAGCCAAACAATTTTACTTTTGCTGGCGTTTTTAAGGCTTGTATTGGACTTGAAGCATTTGATACAGCGAGAGGCGTTCATGGGTGTGTTCTAAAAACTCGTTATGAGCATGATATTTATGTAGGGGTTGCATTGCTTGAATTATATACCAAATGTGGGAACATCGACTATGTTCAACGGGTTTTTGAGGAGATACCTAAAACAGATGTTATTCCATGGAGTTTCATGATTTCACGGTATGCACAGAGTGATCAGAGTGAAAAGGCTGTTAATCTGTTTTGCCAAATGAGGCAATCTTGTGTGGTTCCTAATCAATACACATTTGCTAGTACACTTCAAGCGTGTGCAACTTTGGGGGATCTAGATTTAGGAAAGCAAATGCACAGCCTTGTGCTTAAGGTTTGTCTTAATGCAGATGTGTTCGTATCAAATGCCCTTATGGATGTCTATGCTAAGTGCGGAAGGATTGAGGATTCGATGGAGCTGTTTGAGAAATCACCGAATAGGAATGATGTATCTTGGAACACCTTGATAGTTGGTTATGTTAACTGCGGGGACGCTGAGAAGGCATTGGGCTTGTTTATGGAGATGCTTGACAATCGAGCACAGGCAACTGAAGTAACATATTCCAGCATCCTCTGTGCTTCCGCCAGTTTGACGGAATTGGAGCTAGGAACCCAAATTCACTCCTTAACTGTCAAAACAAATTACGCTGAAAATACTATAGTTCATAATGCATTGATTGACATGTATTCCAAGTGTGGAAGGATAAAAGACGCTCGATCGGTATTTGATAAGATGAATGAACGAGATGAAGTTTCATGGAACACTATGATCTCAGGGTATTCTATGCATGGGCTTGGTATGGAAGCTTTAAAAATATTTCAGGTGATGAAGGACAGAGGGTATAAACCAAACACTTTGACCTTTGTTGGCGTGCTATCAGCCTGTAGCAACTCAGGACTACTCGATCAAGGACAAGCTTACTTTTCATCTATGTTGCAGGAGTATGGCATAGAGCCATGCATTGAGCATTATTCTTGCATGGTCTGGCTTTTGGGGAGATCAGGTCATCTTGACAAGGCATTGAAGTTGATCCAGGAAATCCCATTTAAGCCTAGTGTTATGGTCTGGCGTGCCTTGCTTGGAGCTTGTGTTATTCATAATAATGTTGAGCTTGGAAGAATATCCGCACAGCGCATTCTTGAGTTGGAACCCCAAGATGATGCAACCCATGTGCTACTGTCGAATATGTATGCAACTGCAAGAAAGTGGGACAATGTCGCTGCCATTAGGCAAAACATGAGAGAGAAAGGAATGAAGAAGGAACCGGGTTTAAGTTGGATCGAGAACCAGGGAAGTGTGCATTATTTCAGTGTGGGAGACACTTCGCATCCCGATACTAAGGTGATTAATGGGATATTGGAATGGTTGAACTTGAGGACGAGGAGAGCAGGGTTTGTCCCTAATCGTAATGCCGTTTTGCTTGACGTAGAGCATAAAGAAAAGGAGCGACTCTTGTGGGTACACAGTGAAAGGTTAGCTCTTGCGTATGCACTATTTCGGACGTCACCCGGAAGGCAAATCCGTATAATTAAGAACCTCCGAATATGTGTGGATTGCCATGCTGCAATGAAATTAATATCAAAGATCGTGCAGCGAGATATTATCATCAGAGATATGAACCGGTTCCATGACTTCCATGATGGAGTTTGCTCCTGTGGTGATTACTGGTAATTCATTCATCTGCCGCTACAGGGTGATTATCTTTCGGATCCTATCCCCCCTGGTATTGTAAGCATCTTCTCTCTAAATGTTTTTGCAAAATGTTTGACAGTTTTGTTAGTTTAGTAACATTTCTTTGCTTGTCCGGTTCTTGTACCGGTTTTGATCAAATGAAAAGCATTCAAGTGGCACTTGATTGATCAATGTGAATGAACAATTTATGATGGGTTAGCAACATAATCAAGGCACTTCTCTGTGTGTTTGGGTTTCAACAAAATAAAACTTGCACTAGTTTTTCACATGCATTCACTGACATCATTACTCGTTACATGCACTCACATATCGGGAAGATTATAACAAATGACAAAAAGACATCAGATAATAATCCTGTACTTTGAAAAAAAAAACTAAAACGACCTTTCTATTTAAAAAATAAATCTAATGTGATCTTTTAACTAATGTTTTCCTTCGTTGATCATTATAGTATTGATATGGCAGTTCATGATGTTGATGTAGCAGTTCATGATGCTGACGGGTAGTTTATTTTTCATATTTGAGTTACCAATTTAGTCTATTTAGCATGTTATCCGTCATATTATCAACCACCATAGACTGTCACGTCAGTACTGTAGTCCGTCACGTTAGTACCATAAATTGTCACGTTAACACCGTAACGACAAACGACGAAAAACGTTGGTCAAAGGGTTACATTAGATTTATATTTTGAATAGGAGGGTCACATTGAGAGAGAAAGTATGGCGGTGTACAAGAACCTCTGATATTTTTTTGCTATAATAAATTGATCCGAAATTATTTAATTATCGTAAAATTTCATAAGAACTAATTTATTATATAAACTTGAATTGCCCGTCCAGCTCAGTTGGTAGAGCTTAAGGCTCTTAACCTTGTGGTATTGGGATCGAGTCCCACGGTGAACAATTCATAATTCTGACTGTTGGAGGTCTTCCACGGAAACTGCTCTCAACCTGGCGTTGGGGGCAGCCTACTACCTTACCACCCCTCATCCCATTACATATGGGAATAGGGTCAGCTAATTTTTTTTAAGTTGGATCGGACATTAAAACTGTAAGTACCGTATCAAACTGACTTGATACGCACCACATTTCCATTTTGATATTAGATCATCTTTCTTTTATCTATTAATCATTTATAGGATGATAAATGACTTGTATTACATATATGTTTATCAGCATTAAATCTTCTATTAAAATTCTAACTTTTATCGTGAAAGAAGAGGGAGAAAAAAATCATCATTCTCTCTCTGTTTGTTTCATCTGTTTACAAAGTATTTATGTGTGTGAGAGAGAGTGATAGGCTCCCATGCCATGCATGACCATCAAAACTTTCATATATATATATATATATATATATAGACACACACGCGTTGCGTAAGTGAATTAGGATCCACTTACATAATGTAAAACGTTTTAGTTTACACAAATTTAGGACCGTTTGATGAGTGAAAATAAATGGTTGAAATTGACTCGTTGTTCTTTCCAGTAAATATCTTCACATTTCCTACTTTTAATCTTGATCATTTGTTTTCTCTCATACAACTGTCTTAAATCTATGTAAAACTAAAAGAGTTTTACATTGTGTAAGTGGATATTTATATATATATACTGTGTAAAACTCTTTTAGTTTTACATCTTTGAAGGATCATTGGATTGAGAGAAATTAAATATTAAGATTAACACATTATTTTTTTAATACACATCTTCTCATTTTCTATTATTAATTTCAACTTTTAATTTCTCTCGTCAAATGGTCTATGGTACTAAAAAGATGTAAAACTATATATATATATATATATATATATATATATATATATTTGGTAGTTTGGTAATTAATAAAAGAAAATATACTTGCGTATCACGTTATTTAAAGCAAAAACAAAACATGTGTCACGTTAGCCACTTAAAAGATTATGATTAAATTAAATAATAAGATGGGGTCAAAAAACGGTGATGATGATGAATAATAGCATGCATAGTGAATAATATTATAGCTATAAGCTTTCAGTATCATCAAATGATCCCCATGTGTGCAACTCTACACCATGCACATCGGATGCAAGGTTTGCAATAATGAAATCATCACTACATGTGGGTGTGAAATTGAGGAAAAGCTTCCCAAATTATGAGAATCAATTTCTGAAAACAAACGTGTGTATAATAAACTAAACCTATATTTTTTTATAATTACCTGTATCAGATCTATTAATCGATTAATCCAGATCAAAAACTGCAGAGACAAAGACAATTAATCCAAATCGAAAACTGCAGAGGCAAAGACGACCCTCCCAACCAAATTTGTTCCATTCGCAATCACAAGAATTCGTACCCCTAACCTTACTTAAGGGATTTAATGTCTCATTCCCCTGGATCAACGGGGTGTTGGTTAAGGCTGTTTTTTTAATATCATATTAAACTAATATTTATGATTTTAGGGTTAAAAATACCATCACGCTGATGTTATAAAAATTAAATTAAATTTTAGGGTAAACTATAAATTTCACCACTTAATTTTCTTTTCATTCATATTTTGTTCATTAAAATTTAAAAAAAATTAATTTATTGTATGAATTTTTTTATTTGCTTCTATTTTAGTCACTCGAGTATTAAATCATAAATGAAAGAATAACATGACAGCCACATACACTGATGTAGACTATTTTTTATTGACATGGAATCCGTGTGACGTTTCCTCTATTATATTTTTTATATCTTCTTCTTCTAAAGATAAAAAATTTACAGTTTTATCACTGTGTCACGTCGGTGCTACAACTGTCATTCTATGATGCCTTCTTCAACCACTCGAGATATCGACGAACTCATCTTGTTATCTCTGACCACTTTATCAATTTATAACTTACCTAGATGATCACTTTAAAACTCATCCATAAACTCAAAACTCATGAATCCCCAAACCATTTGATAAACGTAAAATCAAGATATACAACTCGCTTCTTCTCTCACCTTCCCACCATTGAGGATTGAAAGAAAATACTTCATCATTGAAAATCAAATGAAATTCGAAACTATAGTTTTTCATTAAAAAAAGGAAAAATTTGATATTATTTTATAATTATTAAAAGATAAATATATAGTCACAACAAAATGGACAAAATAAGAAGAAATCCGAAATTCAGTAAATAACTTAAATTTTATAGAAAAATTAAATTAAAATTAAATTATAAAATTTATAATTAACTCTAAAATTTAATATTATAATTATATAAATTTAAAATTTTAATGATAAAATAAAGTGATTCTTTGCTTATATTTATGAGCTCTTTTTTCTTCTAATTGAAGGAAGATTTTAATAAGACGTAAGATAATTCGATACAATATTTTTTCAATAATAAAATAATATTGTTGTGAAAAAATATTTTTTTATTAATGTGAAATAAATACAAGGCAATATCTATTCAAAGATAATATGAATAAGTATAAGATAATATATGTTTAAAGATAAACTCTCAATTTTTCGACATTAAATGCTCATACCCCTGACATCTAAATCCTCAAGCCCCTGACATCTAAATCCTCAAGAAATAATAATAATTTATTTACCACGGATATCACTTGATTCGTGAATCTAACAAAAATTACTAAATAAAGTGATTAGCCTAATATAATTATCTTGTTAGATTGTGTTGGTTGACTCATTTGAGAAAAGCACATTGTAGCTTGTTATACTAGAGAGAGAGAAGGCATATTTGATGGGCTGGAAAGAAAAGTGAAGCATCTTTTCAGGAAAAGGTGAGAACTGCTACCTGCAGGCTGCAGCCACTGTTGTGAATCGGTTCATTATTCAAATCACTTCGTATAATATAACATACATTAATGGAGAACTGAGAAATGAGGTACCGTACAGTTAATTCGCAGGTAGGGTGGGAAGCACATGCTTTTTAGCAAGCTAAGCCCACGTTTTCGATTCTCGAGTCATGGGGGAAACACCATCATGCATGCCTAACCAACCCCTTTCCCTTCTTGTTTAATCACTCTTACTCTCATGTCGTTGATTATTATTTTATCCCCAACACACTGCTGACATCTGCAATTTCTAAAAGGAAAAAAAAACATTTGAGTATGCTCAGCAGGATAATGTTTTTATTACTTATTGTTTATGCGCAAGGATGAGAGGCTCGTTCATGGAGGTTTAATGAGTTAAGAATATAATGGATTAGATGATTGTTTGTGATTTTTCATTTGATTTAGATAAAAAAATTCTTAACCTCGATCTATATGTATCTATATATACGGATCATTCCAAAGAAATTCTTCGTTTCTCTTGTGAAAATAACTTGATGTTTCATCCTACTAGATCAACTAGTTGTTGGTAGAGAAAATATCTTTATATTATTCATGTAATAATGAACATATTTTATATGAGTTATCTTGCGTGTCACTTATCACGTCGATGAATTGTTGTTGAGCTATAACATGTTATTGTTAATTATGAAGAGTTACCGTTTTAATTGAGTTAAATTATAAAATATTTTAAAGAACATTTTCTTTGATTTAGAATTTGATATGATTTATTTTCAGAACTATTAAAATTTAATGTAACTATATGATATTGAGATCATAGAATATACATGTGTGGGGGAACATTGAAGCAAATAGTGAAACAGAAGGAACCAAAGAGGGGACGTGATGGGGCTTTATTGTTAGTATGGTTTTAAACATTCCAAATTGTAGCTTTAATCTATGTTGGGATAGGTAGACATTCCCCATAAACCTCTCATTAGGTCTTAAAAAGGACCTTTTTGTGACATTCTAAAAAGAAAGAACCTTTACAGTCATTTTCTCCTTGGAACATGCCCTAAAGATGTCCTGGCTGTGGAGCCTTTTGATATTTTAATCCCCCCACCCATTACAAAACAGGAGGATCAAACTGACCGACTCACCACCGTCTCTTTCTTTATCTCCTGCTGCAACTATTTTATTTCCCACAAGCTTCCAAACCAAGAGAATTAATGGAAAACGAGATTCACAATGTTTATTCTCCTTGTCTTCCTCTTATATGTTCATAATGAAACATAAGACAAGAACGAGTCTCCTCTGATTAATGGCTGTTAAAGAGCTTATTTTCGCCCATGGCTTATGTTGAGAATATCAAGAGTAATCCGGGGAATCATTGTCTTCTTCATCATCTGCTTCTTGTCCTTTTTTCTCGGTATAGTCCACACAGCGTGTTTGGGGTTTTCCTGTTTTTCAGATATGACCATGGTTCCTACTGAAAACCTTTCCAAACAGCATCATCTTCCTCACGGTGGCGGAGGCGGTTTTGATTGCGGTAAAAGTTACACGGAGGGTTTGGGGCTTATGAGCAGCGTTCACGGGTATGACTATCAAAACGAAGCTTACTTAGGATCTGATCTAGTAGCTGCTACTTCCATGGCTAAAGATGAATCGAGGACTAACAGTGATAACAATAATCAAGAACAAGAAGAACAAGATAAAGGTTGGCTCCGACTCAGTATAGGGGGTCAGACTCAGCAACAGGAACATGCGACGAATATGATCACAACAACAAGCACGGACGAGGAGGGTCGACGTTGACGGAGCCTGGTCTATTACTCGGTGGTGGCTCACAGTCACAACAAGCAAGGCCATTAGACCCTATTTTTCGACTTCCACCACGTCCGACGGTTAACAATAGTTTTAGTACTTTGTTCTTTCAACAACACCAGCAAGGAAGTAGCTCCATGATCCCATGTATTCCAAATCATGGGGAGATTAACCGGACATTTAAGCCGATAGCACCGAGTTCTTCTTCTTCTTCGTTGGCGCCCTATTTCGGCAGACCATTTCAGGTGCAAACAATGGATGTTGACGGGCCGAGCTCGGAGGTTAGAATCATTGATCCTCCTAGAAGACCCCATTCTGGCATTTGGTTTATCCTACAAGCATCACACAATCAGTAAGTACAAAAACAAGAAAAGGGCATTCAAAAGTACACCATGAAACTCACTTGGTCACTTTCTTTTTCCATTTCAGAGCAAAAGAACCCTTCTTGCCTCAAATACCAAAGAGCTATCTGAGAATCAAGTAATAAAATTCATTTTTCCCTGTGTTTATTCACGTTCTACTTTCGTGTTCATGGCGGTTCATCTTTTGTTTTTGTTTTGAATTGTTATTAAGGGATGGGAAGATGACAGTGCGGTTAATAATGAAGTATATGGCTAACAAGCTCAGACTGGATAGCGAATCAGAGGTATGTCTCAAACCAAACGCACCACCATTTTCCATTCTTGTTGCATTTTTCGCCTGCTTTAGGGTAGCAAAAAACATGAAACTATCGAGTTAAACTGATTAGTACATGGATTACAGAACTTGGTTGTTGTTAGGGACATGACAGAAACATTGGAACTAACACTTCCTGTTTTTCATCTTCACTTGTCTGATAACGTCATGTAGTGTAGGTGGCAAGTATATGTCTTTGGTACCAATTTTAGCCCATAATCTGTGTTACTTAAGATTGTTCCAAAGTTTCCCTGATCAAGATATTTAACATATAAGCTCCTGTTCTTTAGTTTATTTATCAAGTCGTGTACTTGATAGGAGAGACGAGGATCTTCGAGACTAACATACTAATTATTTAGACTAAAATAATTGTTTCTTTCCTTGCACTTCATGCCAAGTTTGAGATCATGACAGTATCTTATTTTTTTATATTTGAAGAATCATAATAGAAACACACCTAATCTCGAAGACATCATAACATATATATTTGGTTGTTTTTATATGATTATAGAACTTTCACGTTATAGTTAACGGGTCATCAACTCAGGCCAACTCGGCTGCCATTGATACGGCAAGCAAACTATTGGCATAAGATTTTCCATCATGGCTAGGGTTTTGTTTTGATTGTATGCTGCAGTGGAAAATATCCAATGATTAGGGTTATCAGCGATTTTAGGGTAGATGTAGGACTATATATGACTAGTTTTCATCTATTTACGTGCTTTAAAAGTAAACTAGCACCCTAGGTTGAATAATAAGAAATTCCATATTCTTTTATAAAGTTTCAATTCAAATTATATAAAAAAAAACATTAAATGATCTTTATCGTATTTAAAAGTTTGATTTAACTTGACTCTAAATATAATCGAGCTTAAGATACTCTGGGTAATACTGACCACTATATTATATGGTAGGTAGGTAAAGGAGAAGGGATATTATCATGGGCATAGTACATTACAAAAATGAATTTACATATAAAATTTTAAGAGACGAAATTAAAGTATCAATATAAACTATAAAAAAATATTAAAAATATATAATAAATTGAAATTTTCAGGGCGTGTTCGATCCATCCATATTCCTATACCTCTAGGGTCATTAAAATCCCACGCGGACCCTGTAATTCTCATAAACCCTACATCTTCCACGTCCTCTCTTCCCTTCCGTCACGCTTTCGTTTCTCACATCTCAGCATCCGGATAGATAACTGTAGGCCCTTTTCTTTTCCTTTATGCCCCTGCTTAAACAGGGACATAATTACATAAAAATAACCTTAAGTGCACCACTTTGATGGAATATTTTGTAAAAGGACTTATCGATAACACCAACCCCACGGGTTTTACGTCGGGGGAAAGCAATGCATGAGGGGGTGATTTCCACAACAGGATCATTTCCCCAGTTGTTGAAAAGGAACAAAAATGAAGGGCATAAAAAGACAGATTAGAACCCCTCCATTAAATGACTTCTTTATTCTCCTATTTGTAATTTTAGAATTAGGGTTTTATTTTGCAAGAAAGCAACGTGAGGAAGACGTGCTTGATATGTGATTGGTAGACGTGCGTGAGATGAGATTAGTGTATGTGACGTATATTTGGGTAGGTTTTATATTTTATTCTAGGATAAAAGTACACAAGTGGTCCCTTGATTATAGAATATTGTTTTATTTAGTCATCCGACTATTAAAAATTATAAAATGGTCTCTAATTATAGGACGTTGCTTTTTTAAGTCCTTCGACTATTAAAGATAACAAAATGGTCACTCGACTATTCATTGTGTTCCAAACTCGTCCTTTTTAAAAAAAAATGATGACAGTTTGAGTTGGACGTTAACCTCCTGACTGTGATATGATAGTAGTTTGAGATTCTGGGTTCATATTATATAATATCTCAATTAACATGTTAACGTCTAACTCAAAATGCCATCAATTTTTAACAGAAAATGACGAGCTTGAAACACAATGAATAGTTGAGTGACCATTTTGCAACTTTTAGTAACCATGAGAGTTAAAAAGGCAACGTCTTATAATTGGGATATCATTTTGTAATTTTTAGTAGTCAAATGACTCAATAAAGTAACACCTTGTAGTTAAGGGGACCATTTATGTACTTTACCCTTTATTCTAATTGCAGTATATAAATAGTTTTATAATATAAAAATAAGTGTTTCAGTAATTAAAGGAATTGTTTTGGTCTTAGGTTCGAGCACCAGAGACTACAAGGATGTTTGAAATACATTATCAAATAATTGTGAAACTTTAGAACATATACAAAAAATTATCATTCAATAAATATATGATATGTGGCATATATTTTTAAATTTTTTAAAAAAATTAAAGAATTAAAGAAATTAGAATACAAATAATACATTAAGTAGCATTTTTAAGAGATTTTAGCAATTCAATTATTTAATTGAATATAACTTTATACATTTAAATTAAAAATATATAATTTAAATAATTATTTTCCACTTATGTTGATATATAAATTAAAATAAGAGTATAGAGGAACAATGATTTTGGCTTGCGAGTAAACTCTAGGTGGGTCCCGTAATGATAATTTCGGTCAGTTTAAGATGGTGGAGCTAACGGGCAGGCTCGAGCGTGCTTGACCGCTGATCTGAATTAGCACTCTCATTTGGTCAAATTTTCGGGATAAAATAGGTACTTTTTTAATTAATAATACTTAATTAATTATTTTGACCAATAAAACTTTAAAAAATATATAAAATATCATTTAATGGTAAGTACCAAAGTGCAAGTCTTAACTGTAATTTTCTTAAATGCAGTTGTTTAAATCCGGGACTTTTAGGGAAACAGTCTCAATCTTATCGAGTGAATATTTATCAACACTTTGATATGTATTAAAATTTTATTTAACGAGTGATTTAGTCAGTTGATTGAGTGTAATTTCAAGCTTTTACATATATGAAACCTTGTTGAGGTTGCAGATAGAGATAAGATGCAGAGGGCAACAGCTTGGGCCATTGTTGACGTTGCAGCATGTAAGAGATCAAATATGGAGTTCAACGCCGCCTGATATTAACAATGTCATGGTTCTGCATTATGGTAGGCTCTAGGGATTCAATTATTCAAAAACACCAGCACTACCCTTATTTTTTTTCTCGTAATTTAATAGGTTCTTTTCTATATATGATTGTGATCGATGAGTGAATGAATGAACGAATGAATCATTTCTTAAGTTATGGAAACCGTCTCCTTTTTCTTTTATTTTTATCTTCGTCGTCGTGGTCTTATCGGTGATGGTTTTAGATCAGTGAATAAAGGATCTAACATGTTCAAGAACATGTTATAGTCAAAAAGAGACCACCCGCACTGCACATTGTGAAAATGAGTGACATCTTTGACAAAAGGAAAGAAAATCCCCAAGTGCTGAGAGCAACAAGATACATGCAACGTAGCCACTCGTGTAGCCACTAGAATAAAGTTGAAAAGGCTAGCAAATATGAACCACAAGCAGCTTTGCATGCGCGCCACTATGTTCTTTTCATAAATGTATATGTTCATGTATAGATAGGCAGACTGTAGGATCCAACATGTATTTCATGATGAAAAACACATGCAAAATTGGAGGTATGGGGCACATCATGAACATATTCGGGTTTGTGTTGTTGTTGTTGAGTGTGTCGATGGTGGAGCAAACCGAGGCGAAAGGTTATGAGACGCCACTCAACTGTGGCCACTTCGAGTGTGCCTCGTACAGAGTTATTCAAAGCCGGTCGGAGTTCGAGATTAGGAGTTATCCAAAGGCTATATGGGTGGCTACTTCCCCCATCGCCTCTTCCTCCTACAAGGATGCTGTTTCCAAAGGCTTCAAAATGTAAGGACACTAACAATGCGCATATATATATATATTTGTTCTTTGACATTAATTTAGGTTTTTGTTTTCCACGGCTAGCCTCCTTGCTTACATTCGGGGCAACAATGAGGAAGCAGTGAAAATGAATATGACAGCACCAGTTCTGGTAAACATACATCCAACCACTGGAGGTCTTCACAATTTAACCTATGTTGTTCACTTCTACATGCCTCAAATATTCCAAAGAAACCCTCCCCGATTGGCTGAAGCACACCCGGTGGAGCTGCCTCGGAACAAATTTGCAGCAGTGAGGAGATTTGGGGGCTTCATGAATGATTCCAACATCTCTGCGCAAATATCAGCCTTGAAGAAAAGCATCGAAGGCACAGCTTGGGATTTGAATAAACGCAGCGGCAGCCGCTCTCTGCAGTACAGTGCTGCCGGTTACAACTCTCCCTTTGAATACGAGAATCGTCTGACTGAAGTGATGTTATGGTCCGATTAGCTTTCGTTAGACCTAGACAAAAGGATATGTTTCCCTAAGCTATCAAAATATTTCTTGTTTCCCACGCTTTACTCTTATATTTGCAATTTACATCAAGATTACAGAACTTCATTGCTTCAAAAATGAATGCGGAACAAGTTCAGAACACCGGTACCAATCTTTGCCAACTGATCACAAATGTTATATCAATAAACAAAAAGCATTACCAAACAGAATCCAAAGAATCCTCTAGTTAACACAAAAAACCCAAAGTTCAACAACAGAACCAAAAAAAAACAGCAACATTTACAGAAGAAAACTTAAAACTGCAAGTTACCGACAAACAAAACTTAGCTAATCAACAGAAAGCTGTCGCCGCTTGTAACGAACCATCACTTTTCCTTTCACACCAACCACCATTGCATTCCAGTCAATCTCGGGAAACGGTGACACAAGCTCCAATTCAAAGTTCCTCAACAAATGGCTCCATATAGCCTTTATCTGAAGGTAAGCAAACGGTTCGCCAAGGCAACCATGCCTGCCACCCCCAAAGGAAATATATGAGAAAGCCCCAGCTTCCTTGTCTTCTTCCCTCCCAATAGAGAATCTATCGGGATCATATGTGTTTGGATCCTTGTAAATGTGAGGAAGCCTGTTGGCAAATGCTGGTGATGTTGCAACAATGTGACCCTTTGGGATGTCGTAATCTTTTCCATCTCGGGTTTTTACACTAAAATCACTGTGTGAGCTACGCAAAAGCATAATCAGTGGAGGGTGAAGTCTCAGAGCTTCTTTAATGCTCCGATACAAGGTGTCCATCTCAGATAAGGTATCATGATCAACCTTGCTTCCATGCTTTCGCATTAGTTGTTTCTGCTCCTCGAGCACAGCAGATAGGAACTCCTTGTGCCGAAGGAGATAAGCACCAGTCCACGTAGAGGTGATAGAACTGGTATGCTGTCCAGCAAAGAGAGCAGCAATGAGTAAGCCGGTTACTTCAGCCTCGGTAGTTGGGCGACCATCTTTATACTTAGATTCAATGAAACATTGCAACATGTCATTCTCTGACTTGCCAGCACATTTGCGGGAAGCTATGATATTTGCAAAGATATCAGCAAGCTTCTTTCGAGCTCGGTCGCGACGGCGATGTGCAGGGATAGGCAGGTAAGGGAATATAACACTGATGGGGAGCATTCCATTGTCAAGATCATGGAAGAGTGTAGAGACATCATCAAAAAGTTTATCACGCACTTCACGACCCAAGAGACACCTACTGGCAGTCAAGATGATGAGATGCTCCAGTTCATACGTAAGGTCCACCTCACCACTGTCCCCCCATTTTGAGAAGTAATCCTGCCCAAATCTATAATGATTAAACCACGAAATCCAATCTATAGAGCTACAACATTATGAACTTATGTAACAGTGAAACCATATGAGGAATCTTGAATTCGGTGAAAATTTTGACAATTTTCTATTCACTAACATGTCATTTAACCTCCAAAACCAAATGTACCCATGTTTATCATCCTTTACTTCATTTTTATTCATCAAAGAAGCATGGAGAGTAAATCATTAAGTAACACCAAGCCACCGACGCCCATTCTTTTTCATTCATAAATGAGAGAAGAAGGGGAAGATCCACAACAACATGAAAATCGATGCTTGAGTTGATTTTAAAGAAAGCAAATCAACATTCACAAAAGCATTATTAACAATGTGCAAATCATACTTCAATCTTCAGATGTGAGCTTATGCAGAGTGGATTCCTGAGATGTCTACCCACTATCTCAAGCATGCATAATCAATAATGAAATAAACAATATAATTTTGTTCAACGGAGCAGGTCCATTAATCATCCACCAAATGCAAACTCTATCCATGTTAGTTAATTATCCCTTGACATAGTATCAACTATCAAGTGTAACATAATATAAACCAAGTTCGAAGCATATCACTCACCTCTGCTTCTGTAACCATCTGATCGACATAACCTTTAAGCTTGTTAACTCGAAGGGCCTCGGTAAAGAACCGGAACTGCTCTTGCCTTATCGAGTAATCCACATCGAAAACCACACCGGGTCCGAAGGTTGGCACATTGAACTGATAAACTTCCTGTTGGCTGAGGTCTGATTCTGAAGCCTTAAAGAAGTGTGCTGAAACTTCAGGCCCGATCAAGAAAGTTATCTTCTTGTTAAACAAGTTCAAAGTGAAAACACTGCCGAGCTTCGGGTACTCCTCCCGGAGCATCACCATAGGGCCTTTCATGAATCGAAGGAGCCCACCGATGATCGGCCAGGTTTTGACTACCGGTGGCAGACGTTTCCTAGATCTGGGCATTATGAGGAAAGATATGAGCTTGGCCACTACTAGAGTGGCTACTATGAGAAGACCCATGTTCAAAACCTTGTCGTTCACTTCCATGGCGGCTCCGATTAATCTCCTATCAGTTATCAGTTAAAAATTAATTAAGAAAAAGAGAGAAAAGTATGAAACCTGAGAAGAATCTTTAACGAACACTCGTATTGAGTGACTAAATTCCAGCATTGAACATTTCAATCATCAAAAGGGAATTACAAATACCCAATCGTCGGAGAAGAAAATAGGGAAATTTGCTCTAGTTTTATACCAATATATTCTGCTATACAAAATGTTTTCTTTTTGCAGGAAATCAACAGAAAAATATGCGACGGAAAGCACGAAGAGAACATCAACAAGAGAATTATAGATTAATAATCCCACTAATAATGTAAAAAGAGAAGAGTGATTACCTCATCTGAGATGCAACTGTAGACAGAAACGAAAGAAGAATGAGAGTCACATGAACTATAAGACAAACACTAACCGAGAGAATCACCACTGAAAAGAAAATATCCAAACTATAAATAGTTGGCAAAAACTAATCAAAGGTTACTGTATTTGTCAAGGAAAAAAATAATTTCTTCCCTCGTATGGTGGCAGTATTTTTTGTGGTTGATGGTTATAATGTTAGCTTGTTAGTTCGCAGTATTGATATAACATTTTATGGTATTAACGTAATAATTTATTTGTCAAGTTTGAGTTATCAATTTAATTCATCTGTCATATCATTCGTTATATTATCAACTATCGCGGATTGTCATGTTAGCATCGTAGATCACTAGATTAATACAATGAATTGTCATGTCAGTATTGTAATAACCAATAATGAAAAACGTTAATTAAAGGGTTGGATTGAGTTTATTTTATAAATTAAAGGATGTATTGAAAGAATAAAATTAATATGAGGGCCGTATTAATTTTTTTTCAAGTAAAAGGACTTTCGATGTATTTTTGCCTAAATAGTTGAAGCAAATAAGCAATTGTGTTGAGGGAATTGGCAATTGCTAGTATCACTTTGTTTTTAGGCTTATTATACAAATTGGTACATGAAATTGAGAACTTTTCACATATTGGTACCGGAATTTTTTTCTCAAATTGGAACCTAAACTTTGAAACTTTTCTCAAATTTAAAATATGATGTGATTAAATATCTCATATTACGATTTGATTGGTTGTTGAAATAACAACGCCAAATACTATTTTGAGAATTCTTTTCAAGTTTAGGTACTAATTTGAGACAAAGAAAATAAGTAGAAAAAATCTTCAAAAATCTCTTAATAATAAAATATTTACTAAATACGACCATTAGAAAAAAAAATTTACCTAATCTCTTTGAAATAAATAATAAAATTTTAGGAATTTGTTCTAGTCATTGCGTTTAATAAATATTTTAATTTAATCCCTTAATCCACAGACGCAAAAGACTCACAATTTTATTAGTCAAAACGATCAACGAACTTTAATGGTTATGATGAATACCCTATACAATTTCGAAAGTTAAATTGATGTAAAGAAACGATAAAAACGAAATTGATAAATTGAGTTTAATACAAGGGCAAAAATAACCCTTAAACCTAAAAATTCCAAATCAACATCATGTACCAATTTTGAAAAGAATTCCAAGTTTTGCTTTGAAATTGATAATGTAGACACCCGTTTTTGTCCGAGTCTTAAAAATATTTTTAATTATTATTATTATTATTAACAATATTTTACATTTTGTAGTAGACCCCAATTACAAAGCAAACCAAGATCCAACCTAGGCCCATTAGCAGACCCAAACAGATTAGGGTTTTTAAACCTTAATCTAGCCGTCGTCGCCGTTAGCTGAAGTGGAACCGTCCGTCGGCGCATGTGATACATGCGCTTATCCAACCGACGCATGAGCTTAATCGTACAGCTCCTCGCTCGTGTATGCTGCCGCCGAACATCCCATCTCCCGCTGTCATCATCCACAGTACCAAACAGCCACCAAATCAGAGAAAATCAAGTCCAAATCAAAATCCCATTAAAAAATGGTTAAATCCCGATTTTTTTCGAGATTTAACATACCAAACATCAGAGAAATCAAACCCTATTATAGATCTCATGATTTCAGCAACAAAAAGTAACCATAAAAAAGGAGGCAACACACAGAAAATAGGGTATTCAGGAATAAAAAAACAAAAAAAGAGAACATTGGGGGAAGAGGGAAGCCATTCGAAGAGAGGGGAACGATTCGAAAAAAGGGAAAACACATTTGAACAGAAATAAAAAACAACCGAGAGAACATTTCAAAACCAAAAAAGGGGAAGACAGTTTACCTCCTTGGTGACCCGAGACCTCTCAGCTTCGTCGTGGGCAAGGAAACACCCAACCAAAGGTAAAAAGTTTGGTTTTTTCCTTTATAGTAAGGATTTAGTTTTTAATAGGGTTGGTTTTCGGTTTTAATCGGCTAAAGGGTTGTTTCAAAGCCTAGGGGGTGTCGAGAGGAGGGGTCTTAGCCTATTTTCCCTCATCGGGACCACCGATTCGCGGTGGCCGGATGGGTTGTGCGTTTCCTGTCACGGCGACGTTATGGGTTGTGGGAGAAACTCTCTTTTAGGGTTTCTTAAATCGACTGAGAGAAATAAATGAAATAGATTGAAACCCTTAAAACGGGTTTATATATTAGTTTTTGAACGACGTCGTTTCAAAGAGGAGGGACCACGCGTTTTGAGAAAATGGTAAATTACAGTTTAGGCTCCCTTCACGTTTTTAATGTTTCGTTATTGGTCATTAATGAAATTTAGAACTCTTTGAATTTGAGCGTCACATTTATTCCTCATTATATGTTCGTCCTAACCTATGTGTTGATGTTTATGATAATATTTTACATCAATCCTGGAATTTGTAAATTTTTTATTTCAGTCCTTACATGTTCTGTAATATATGTTTGGGTTTTATGTTTATTGATTTGCGTTTCAGT